TTGTTTTGGAAACGTTGGACTAAGGAATATTTACCACTCCTGCAGGAACGTCAGCGCTGGTCTAAAGTGAGGAGAAATCTAATCCCTGGAGATATTGTAGTCATTATGGACGATACTGCTCCGCGGAACTCTTGGATTCTGGGAAAGATTTTGGAGACATTTCCCGACAGGAAAGGATTAGTTCGCCAAGTTGGTGTCAAAACGAAGACTAACTGTTTGGCTCGACCAATTTCCAAGGTCTGTCCGCTTGTGGAGAAGGAGGCTGCCTAGTTCGTGGCAGACTTCTAGTGACTTTTCCCGCGTTTTGACTGGATTTTTTGGACGATTGACTGTTTATGACTCTGGTCACTTGGTGACTGAAGAAATGAAGATTCAATATGGATTAATGAATGGACATTGATGTTTCATTATGATTCTTTTGGTCTCCTACTTAATGTTTTGAAGTAATTATTGAGTCAATAATTAGGGGCTGGTGTGTAGGAGACACGTTTGGGCACTGTGTGAATGAATGGATGTTTGGAGGAGTGATGTATTGTGGGCGTGCATGTATGCGTGAGTGTGGGCGTGTGCGTGAGGGCCTGCATGTGTGTGTGTGGGCGTGAATGTGTGTTTGGGCGCGGTACACGAAATTATGAATGAGCATACACCTGCGGGGGCACGGAAAGGGGAGAGAGGTCTGTTTGGGAGGCCATAATTTTTGTTGACCGCTATTATAGTTTGTTTGATTTATTTTTTGCTATTTTCTCTGGCTTAAGTTTATTCACTACTTTTTTCTGTATAATCACCACGCATTTTTTGGCCTGTGACCGCTGCGTTTATTATTAATTAAATCAATGTCATCGCAACTGGATCCAGCCTTCGTTTGTTTTACTAATTTAGCGCGTCATACAATTTTACCGGACCCAGCTCGCCTCTCCGGCTTTAGACAACAGGCAGCCGCTATAATTAATATTAGGTATATAGGAGGATTTTCTACTTCAGGGTGGATCATCAAGACCATTGGTCCTCCCAACTGTCATTAACCGATCATTCTGGTGATACGTGATCGTCAAAAAGTGGAGAGGGCGGTCCTTTCCTAAATTTTGAGAAAATCCTCCGGAATACCTTTAAGTATAGCACCGTAACATATCTTTAGCTTAATACATTGAACCTTCTGAACATTGTAAAGCGCTTTGGGTGACCTTGATGTTTAAAATGCGCTATATAAATAAACATTACTTACTACTACTTAATACTCATTTATGTGGTGCTATTATTGGATCCTACAACATTAACATACAAAAATATATGGCACAATTTGAGCATATATACATTTATTTATTTGAGAATAAATCTTTTGCCCTGTGCGTCACTATATAATGCTTTGAGCCAAGAGATTTTCCTTTCATTTTTTCTGTTTGAAAAAAATCTGATGCATGTAAAAACCAGTGGTAGAGTTACAACAAGCACGTGCTGTAGATACATTTGTTTGTGGTTTTGTAATTAGGTACCTCAGCTTTAACGACTAACTATAAAAAAAAAAAAACCAGTTCCTCTGCTTCTAACAGCACCTCATAACGACCTAGTGCTTTATCTTTCAGACACACATGGAGGCTTGGCTTCTCGACCAATCACAGCACAGCACAGAAAAAGGAAAAGTGGTGGGACAAGGAGCTGAGCTTGCACTTTCTGGTCCACTCTGATAATCTCACCTGGACATTTATTATCGGACAGCGGCGTTTCCCTCTCCGTCTGTGCGTCAGACACAAAGCTCAGGCCAGTGGAACTAAGCACCATTATCATTATTATGTTGAAATGTGTTAAGCAGCAGGGCAGTGACGTGAGGCCGTGTCCGGAGTTCACATGGAAGATAAGACCACTGTTTGATCTGACTCTGGCTCACTGGCTCATTCAGGCCTTTGTCAGACCTGTACTTACCACTGGCTCATAATCTGCAATGTTACAGACTAGGGCTGTAATTAAAAGTTTACTTTGGCCAACTATTCGCTTATCAATCAATCAAATAGTTTGAACTCAGGATTTCTTTTATACATTTCACCAGAACAAAGTCCATGTTTGTGATTGCCCATGGAGAGCCTCTTTATTGGGACTATGGTAAAAAATCAGATTTGTTTTATTTGGCAATATCTTTTTTAAAATCTACATCTGTATTCCCATTTTATTAATTTTTTATAATAAAAAAAAATCTTTTTGATATGTACAAAATAATGTGTTCACTGTTATGTGTGGTTTTTTTTTTTTTGGGAACATTTTTGTCATTTTGTACCGTGTGTATACTTCATCAACATCATACACAACATAACCGCTAGTATAACATGACAGTTAACTTTAAATAAAGTCAGAAGAAAAATGTTGTGGCTTGTGAATAACGCAGTGATGAGTTCAGAGTGACTACAGTGTCCTAGTTACAGACCTATGGCAGACTACTCCTCTGTTGCTTTTCATTAAAGCTGAGGTACTTAACAAGTTTCTTGCCCACTGTTTTTTTTTTTGAGTCGTTTCATGCCGATACAGGAAGGTATAAGGTCTGTGATGATCTGGAACATTTAGGGATATTTTTTTTACATTAAAGTCGGGACAAGTGCTGTTGTGATTTAGGGCTATACAAAAGAAATTTAATTAAATTTTACTCACTCAGCCTCAATCGGCCCAAAGAGTCAAATAGTGACTCACAAGGCTTTTTCTAGTATGCACAATATACATATTATATTATACAATAATATTATAACGGATAATATGAAGACAGCATTTGGTCTTCGTGTTTGCAACAATAAAATATATTATTCAAGAAGCAAAAAAAAGTTAGGTACCCCAGCTTTAATGTTGGTATGATCTCAAAGTGTGGACAGCTGCTGATTTGTGATCGGTCCCTCGTTAATTGTGCTTCTGAGATAGCAGGAAAGGCTGTTACTGTACATTCGTGCATCTGCCTCATGTAACAGTAGGTGGCACTGTTTATTTGTGTGCCATTTTTTTGGGACAAAAAATACAAATATTTTTCAGTGTAGAATGAGTTTTAATATTTTTTGAAGGAGTACCAGAGCAAGAACAAGGCAAACACTGTCACATAACATGAAATCGGAGGGCATCACGGTGTAAACATAAGGTGCAAGTTTTGTACTACTAAACATCTGCATTTTTACACACACGTTTTAATTACTGTTTACATCTGATAAAAAACATGGAACATTTGGTTGAAAATGTGGGATTAGTGTGACAGCGAGAAGTGAAATGAATTTCTAGTTACCTCAAGACCTGATTTCACATTATCATTTCATAACAACAATGTTTAAAATAGCAGCAGCTTGTAACATAAAGAGGCCATCAGTAGTATGTTGTATGACTATTAAACACACTGAATATATTCCCATTTACATCTATGTGAGTACAACAAGTTACAATCTCAACATCTATTTTGTCAAATCAAGTTGTTACTATGTGTGGACACTGATTATTGGAGAAAATAGCATACAAGCCCAATGCTAAAGTTTGAATAAAAGAAAATAGCGTTTTTTTACCTAAATAAACATATGAAATCTATTTGCTTATCAATGGCAGCCACCCATTCAAAACCTGTCATGTGTTTATTGTTATGCCTGGATGATACATTTTGGTCATGTACATGTATTGCACTCTTTCTCCTATGTCATATCATACAGGAGAAAATTGGAATCTCGTTGGGTAATGGCTTACAGTCAAAATATTCACATTTTTGAGAATTATTATTTCCTATTGATTTTTTTTTTTTCAATCCGTGAGCCAATTATCAATATTAAAACAAATAAAGGCTTCACATATCTTTGTACAGAGTCTGTCATATATTAGTTTCACATTGGAAGATGAATAACAGAAGTAAATATGTTCAGAGTTTCACCTGTATATGACCATATATCCATTCTTTTTCCAACCTTCAAATCATATTTTTGAATCAAACTTTTGGGTTTGCAAACGTTCTTTCACATATGATACAAAAACAGTTTTGTCACAAAATATCTTTAGATTCTGTCTCATACAGACACCTTTAATAACAGTCTTTCCGTCATCTTCCCCAACTGCTCATCACTCCTTATCCACCACTCTTGTTCCGGTGCCTGTTACAATTTCAGATCCAGTTATTTTGTTTTCCACTCGAGCAATGTTGGAACCTAGTGAAAAACTGGCCCGACTCGGCCCCAGTTCAGAGCAGGAAATACTAAACACAAACATTTAACTTAATCTTTAGCACTTTTTTAAGGGATTGTATGTAATATGCATACCTAGTGGTCTGATGAAGTCAATAAAATTACAATTCCCCTCGTGTTGCCACAATCTGCCTGTGACACTAAGCAAAGTTTACAGATGTAATCAAACTGCTGAGGTTTAGCTAAACACTGTGTCAACTCTGCTTATTACTGATTATACTCTGCTTATTTCTGTATCTGCTTTCATCAGTAGGGGGCTTTTTTAGATATGTGAATTTTGTAGTAATAAGCCAAAATAATAAATTACACGTAACAAACTAGCAACCCAAATGAGAGAATCATTCTTCTCCTGGAATGGATGATCAGCTTAAATGATTTGTATTTTAATTAAAATGAACTCAGATTCATGTGGACCTTAAGAAGTAGAAATGAAAATGACATACTGTCCCTTTAAAAAAAGTAATGGAGAAGGTGAAGTTGGTAAAGACAGTGAGTTGAAAAGCTAATGAATGATAACTGCAGCTACAGTAGTTACAGTGTGTAGCTATGGTTACGGAGGCCCTGCTCTGGTGGAAAACAAAACTGAAACAGCCCAAAACCAGTACCTTGGAAAGGGCACATAGTCACTTGAGATCTCACTCTCAAACTTGTCTTTTTGGCTTCCCAAATCAGCCTTTCAGCTTTCAATCCAAAATGTCAAATAGTGACTCACAGAGCAAAAAAGTATGCAAAAGATGAAGACAGCAGATTGTGGTCAGATGATTACTTTTTCTCTTGAGGCAAAGAGTATTACAATTTCCTTTACAAACAGTCTTGTCTTTACCCCGACAGCGATATCTCGTAGTCACTTGCGGACAGCGAGTTGGTGCGTCCGACTTTTTGCACATTCTTAGCGTTAGTGATGCGCGCCGCCACCTCAACTGGCTTCTCAAAGTATTGCACGAGCGCCTGTTCTGTCAGTACGGAAGCGAGAAACTGCTCAAATGTGATGGTCCAGTCTTTGTCTATGCTTGCACTGTGGGGTAACCCCGGCTGGTGCGCGCCCCCCATGCCACCGCCGCAGCTGTCGCTCCTCACCAACACTGTGTCGTCGGCTATGTCCTCGCACTGCAGCTTGTCGTCCAAGTCGTGCGACCCGGTGCTGAGGACGGAGTAGGACGACATAGACGTGTCATCTTTGGCCTCATCGTCGGAAATCAGCATAGCGGAGGAAGAACCTTTGGGTGAGGAGTCTTCCAGTTTGATGTCTTGCATTGGGGGCAGTTCGACCGTGTCTTCGGCTTTCTCCTCGTCGCACGGCTTGGTCTCGGCGCCCCCGGTGGTGGATTTCTGCGTCACACTTGTTTCCGCTTTGCTGTCTTTTCTCTCAGCGGAGGAGGAGAAGGGTTTTCCCACTTCGCCCAACACCAGCAGTAGACTGGTGACCGTGGCGGTGGCGTGGTACAGCTCCTGCTCGGCCACATCCTCGCTGAACATGCTGTACAGAGTCTTGCAAAGCTCGATGAACTGGCTCTGGAACATAACAGTAGAACGTAAAGCAGTTGATAGGGGGCTAGTTCTTGGTGCTGGTATGTTTGTGAGTGTATGTGTGTAAACAGTATGTATATGTATTTAATAGATATATTTTGTGGGATACAGAACCTCCACAACTACCACAAAATACTCCATGTTACTACTACAGAGAACTGGGGGATGGAGACTTCTGCTCAAGGTCTTTTTCAGCTGTTTCTATCGTCACTATAATTTGAAAACAGGAAACATTAATTTTGCATTAATGTGTTATCATTAATAATCTTAGAAATATGGCCAAAAAAAGTTACAATTTCTGCCAGGATGTGTAAGTCCAATTACGTACGTTTCAAATGTGAGTATGGCTTTTTCCTGTGCTTTTAGGTGAATCTGCTCTAGTCTCAGTACTGGCCAGTGTTTACATAGTGGATTAATCAAACTAGAAATGGTCCTGACCAGTATTGCCGAACAGACTGGTTCATCACACCTATTGGCATGCCTGGGTTTACTTGGGTCTTGAAATGTTTTAATCTTACCTGATTTAGCTTTGGGAAATCTTTTAGGTTTTCCGTTTTGCATCGAGACTCCTGGTTCCAAAGTTTAAGGTAGTGGTGGTAGTCTGGAGGGTTCAGCTTTTTTACTAAATAAAAAAATGTAAACAATGAATTAGTGCTAGAACAAATACAAACACAATACATGGATCAAACATACTTATACTCACTCAAAAACACATACATACAATACATTCTAAGTCACTATGAATGATCAAACTAGCTCAATAGCTAAATGCATAAAATATGTAAATGTTATACTAAATAATTGTTACAAATATTTCTTGTACATCAGATGAGATGCACCCTGGAAAATATGAATGACTTTATGGACTGAATACAAAATCTTCTCACCTTTCTCATTCTTAAACGTGACTCTGACAAAGCCATCGTCATTCTCACTTCTGCATCGCGAATCATGGCCTGGATTCACACAAAAAAACTGTTACTTAAAGCTGGGGGACGTAACTTGTTTCTAGTTGGAACACGCAATCTTATGGAGAGTTGTAGAGTTGTCAGCGCTATTGTTGTCAGAGTTTATGGACTTATTATCAATACGTTTTAGTAGATATAGGACTCTCTTATTGGCAAAATAGCTTCTATGTCGATGAATGAGTACGTACATAGAAGCTTAGCAAATAGGTTAATCTGTCTTTTCTCACAGGGCTCTGTCTTACAACTATTCAAAACATAACTCATCCTTTCTATTAGTGTTGAAACAAACAAGATGTATATCTGATAAAAATTAGGTACCCCAGTTTTCAAGGGGTTGTATGTAATATGCACTTTTAGTGGACTACACAAGTCATTACAAGAACAAACCCACTTTTGTTTTCAGAATCTTGTGCCTGTTGCACATCGACCCCCTGGACACTGATCACTAACGCAATCTATCTCCTGTAGTTTAACTTGAAACTGTGAAAAGTTACGCATTACTACTCATTTTTGTACCTGGTGAAGTGTGTGGGGGGAAGTTTGTTTAAATAAATATGTACTGTATAAAGGATAGAGCCAAAACCAGCTAATTTCACTGGATACCAGCCACATATTCATGGGATAATATTCTTCAACAATAAACAAATATAAAGAACATAATGTCCGTTGTATTTTAATTAAGAATAACTCCACTTTAAACTTTTGCTCTGAAAAGGTCAGATACGATTTGTACCTGTGACAATTATCTGGAGAAACATATAAAACGATTTAGATAATTTAAATATGAAATTATCACAATATATGCTCTTAAATGTAGCAGATACCTCAGATTATTCAAATCTTCTACTAACACTTTCCATGACCTTATTTATCAGTTCCTCTTCTAAACGTCTGGCTCCATTAGCTCCGTAACTAGTGCATGACCCAGATTGGAATTGGCACCAACGTGAGGAAATAAACATCTTATGAAATCAGGTTTCAGGCTTGTATCTTTCACACATAATGTAACGTAAGTTCTTTGTTTTGCTTCTGTCATACTGCAGTCTACTACTGGAGAGAATGGTACTATTTCTATGAATAATAAGTACAATTAACACTAAAACAATTTTGGCTAAAACATACTCATAGACATTTCTGGAGTGATGTCTTCAAAAAAGTACTGCGTGGCTTCAAAGGCGGAGTCTGGCTCGTCATGTTCGTTTGGTACGTCTGGGAAAAGAAGAAAGAACACATTCAATCGAGAACTAGGATAAATGATTGCATTCAAGCAGTCTTATTATTGCATCATACCATTGTCAACGTGATAGATTCTCAAAATCTTTTTGTTTTGTTTTTCTGTAAGTGTCCACATTATATATTTTTAACCTGTATACACAGTAATAAAATTCCCTCAAATTACTGACTTTCAAAAGGCACAATTCAATCATACAAAGCAGAGGATTACAAGTGTAGTCTATTTTAAGACAATTGTTATGCTGTCAATAACGTTTTCTAGGGCTTTACTAAACTGCAAAACTCCAAAAAAGATGACCAAAACATTTCTTGAATGAATGGAGAGTAATATTGATTTGAATAAATGCTGACAGTGTCTTACATGTTTTTGTAAGAACTGAAACATGTTTTACCTTGTTCCAAGAAAAAAAGTATAACATGCTTGTCCCTTAATTTATAGAGCACATTTATTAATCGAGTCGTTTTCCTGCATCCTATCTCACAAAACAGTGAATATTAGTTCATCTATAACCCCTATTGATCTATCAAGTCTTGGTAAAAGATATCGTTGGCTGACTTCCATATTAGTAAACTGTGCTGCAGTTCTGCATCAATTGTGTCAACAGCAGGACACATAGTAGCAAGACAAAATCCTATTTGATTTTGTCTTGCTACTATGTGATGAAAGGTATGTAGTGAAATGAGCAATGGAATTTTGGGCGGATTTTTTTTATCACTTTATTCAGTTTTGCTTGACAATATGAACACCCAAAATTAAAATTTCTAATTAAAATTTTCAGTGTTGTGGGAAGCCATTTACAGTCAAATAAATGTGTTTTCTAACCACTTTTGAATGTCAAGAGAAACTAGCCAAATAACCCTAATCAGAAGTTTTCATCTCCCAGTATTACCCCCACACAGTATGGCTTCACACAACTGCCAAAGATGAATGGGGGATCACAAGTATTTGTTATCATCAAAGAGAACATAAGCTATAAAAGATACCTTATGTTGTCATTTACACACACAAGCTGATTTTAGTTTTGAGTTATTTATATCCTCTGTGCTTCCATTGAAGGAGGTGCTACATAATTTCTTCAAGAACATAAGATTTTATTATTATGTTATTATATACATATATACTTATATTAATAAACATCATAGATAATAGTAGTATAAAGAACAGAATGCAGTTATGTATCCTCCTTCATAAGCAACACATTTGAGTCTGTCTCCGATCATTGTACCTGGTAAGACGTGCAGCTTGTAGAGCAGTTTTAGCTTCTCAGTGAGATCCCCGTGACACAGCACACCTGCAAATACGACAGCACTCTTTCAAACCATCAAACCACTTAAAACCCGCCATAAAAGATGATGAGATTTTACAAATCTGTACCAAGTCCTGTGATGAACTCCCTGAAGTTTATGAGGCCGTCTCCGTTGTGGTCCAGCAGGCGGAAGAAGCGCACAGCCAGGGGGTCAGAGTGCGGCCCGTTGGCCCAGGGGAAAAGCAGGCTGAAGAGGCCCTTGAACTGCTCCATGTCGATGCGGTACTGCTCCAGGTAGGGCAGGCTGGGGTCGTGGCGCTCTGTGGGGTTGGTGCTGCCCCCCCAGTAACAGCTGGTCAGGTGCTCCGACTACAAGCACACATCAGCCTACTTTCACATTTGGACAACTACAATGCAATATTTCTGTCCCTTTTGGTCCTTAACAGGTGTATGTTACGTGAATACACAGGGGTATTCAATTTATATGACTTTCCTTTATTAATCATTGGTTGTTTGGATCAGACATTTCAGGTAAAAATATACAGTAATATAAGAGTTAAACACAGTGGAATTTGAGAACTGAAATGAAGTTTGTATTATTTACAAGCCTAGCCCCAGCCAAACTTCAGCCCCACCTGCATGAATTTCCAGCTTTCAGAAAATGTGCAAGACACCAAATTAGGCATTTGGTTTCACTGCATATTTTTGCATATTTTATTTAACTTTTCAACTTCAAGTCCTCCCTCTAGTGGCAGCGTAGGGAGTCACAGGAGGAAAGCATTTTTTGTTTCACCCGAAATTTTCTACTGAGGACAATATTTCACGTTCTAATTACATCTTTAAACTGAACTAGTAGAAAGGAGGATTTTAGAGATTTCACAATTAAATAGGTATCGTTTATCTTATTTCCCTTATCATTTAAAGTGGTTCTCATCCCCGCTCCTCGGAGCTTACGTCACTCACATTTCCTGTTCAAATCTTCCTCTAAATGGGCGTAGCCTGGAGGACTAAAGGGGCCGTGAACGAGACTGGGCCGTTTACATTGCTCTGGGCGGGGGCTGCTGACGTCAGGTCCAACTTCTGTGCCAGTGTTGGCGCCAGATTCAAAATTCAAATGTAGTAATACAGGTCGCCAGCAGATGGCGCCTCACAGACGGTTTTAGGCAGAAAGTTTAACTTTCAACTAATTTGCACCAAAGTGACAAAATTATGACCAGGATATGTAGACAACACTATTGGACACTCATTTATACCATTTATCAGCAAAAAAAAGTGGATTTGAGGGTGAGTTGTCCTTTAAATAGACAACAATGTAAGCCATATATATATATATATAGATAGATAAAACTCTTCAATTAAAATATTGTTCAAAAGTCTGTTTACTTTTCTGATTCAACTTACAATGTGAAACTAATATATGACAGACTCATTACACACAAAGTGAGATAAATGAAGCATTTTTTAGTTTTAATATCATAAATTTTAGTTCAGATTGGGAAAAACCCAAATTTAAACCTCTCAGAAAAAAGGATAATCATCAACATTAAAACAAACAAAGGCTTGCATGTAATGATAAATATCATATATTGGTATCACATTTTAAAGTGAATTACAGAAAGGACAGTATAATAAAGATATTCTCTGTCTAGTTTCACCTCTATATTTAACATGAGCAGGTGTCATAAATCAGGGGCAAAGTTTCTGAAAAGCAATTAAAGAAGCGAGGTGTAATCACATAATACTTTGTGATAACGAAGCAATGTGGCCCACGCTTGAATCATTAGTTTATTCGACGACGCGCTCATGCACTATTTATGAAGTGAAGCAAATCAAACTCAATAGGGAACGGAAGTGATTTGCACAGCAGATCAATTTCAAGCTCTTTCAAAGGAAAAATAAAAACCTTGCTTGGAATGTACTAAGAAATGTTTACAACCAGATGAATCATGAAAATACCTTGAAAAGTACATAGAGTTCCTCCAGTTCGTCGATGCTAAAGGCGGTCTCTGTTACAACAGTCCGGACCTGAAACGTCACACAATTACAGAAAGCAAAATTCAGAATTAGGGCTCAAAAATATGGCTCAGTTCATTTAAGTTTATTTATTCTTGGCGAAAGCTTGAGTGTCCAATGTGTAGTTTTGTTACAGTACAAGTTTCCATCAAATACAAAGGCTTTCAAACGATTAATTTGTTTTAGTTGATTAATCGCATAGTATTGGTAAGTTAACTCACGATTAATCACATTCTTAACATTCTATTTCAAATCCACTCCAATTGAAGTTAAATGAGATCAAATGTACTTCAATCTGTTTGATTTGCTCACAACCTTTTACTTTTGGCACAACCAACAAGTACGGGAAAATTTACACACCCCAGCTTTAATTTAGCAAGTTTAGTGGCGTTTCAGGGGGAGACACGGAGGAGACACGGACACTCCCTGAGGCTCCATAGTTCAGCTTCAGCGGTGTATTTGCGTGCACAGGTTACGCACAGGTTCTGTGTGTGTATGGTCTTATACGAGCACCGCGGCGCCATTCACCGTGTTGTTGTTAGTGGCTCACAGCTGCTAAGAACAACCAGAGCGGCCGCGGACCACAGATTTTTAAGCCCAACATTTTGAGTGTGACGGTTACTGAGCTAGCTACTTTTCAATGTAAAGAGAATTGAAGCCACAGGCCTTTGCAGAAAAACTCTGTCCATGAGCACTTACCCTCTTCGGCTGCATTGAGCTAGCATGTTAGCATTGTTTATCTATACCAGTGGGGGAGGGTCCCAGCTCAAAAGTGGCCAAAATGAAGTGCGCTGACATGCTTGCAATACCACCCCGGGCGATGGGGGTGGACCCAGAAGAAGAATTAGCCAATGCTAACATATAGCATTGGCAGACCTCTCAAAAACGTCTTTACAGGATGGACCAAAAGTTGTCTCTTGGCCCAAAGCTCCGTTCCACATGTGTGTCAATGCTGAGGGGGGTGGATTTTTTTGGTCCACTCTAGTTTACTCGCTGTGAATTTTTGAAGTCTCTTGTTCAAATGAATGGATCTGCGCCGGCTGACGCATGCGCAGATGCGTTTTTTCACAATTTTCTTGTGGGCGGGACCACTCGCGGCCATTTTGGATTGCTCCAGTAGAGCACATTTTTTGGCCCATTAGTTAGAACGGCGGAGATAGGCGTGACTACGTCCGTTAATATATACAGTCTATATACAGTCTATATATACAGTCTATACCCAGTCCATGGCAATAACACTATATGAAGCCCATAGCTCTGCACATGTGGCTTGTGGAGCCTCTCACCACATTGCGTTTGGTGGTGTCTTCAATAGTCTGGATCACCCTCAGTCTCTGCTTGAAACGCATCTGCTCAATGACGTCAGCGCGGATCGAACCAAACTTCTGGGAACAGAAAAAACGCAAAAGAGAAAAATTAGTAGACTAGTTGCCGCTTTGTATATAACTTGTATGGTCAGTTTGAGTACCTCATAGGAGCTGCGCACAAGTTTGAAAATGTCCGTCTCAGGATGTGGATCTCCGTTGTCAGTCAGGAGTGAGTGGAGGTGAGGGATGGGAGGAAGAGTGCTGTCCTTGTTGGTCACACTGTCCAAGTATCTATGGAGAGGTCAAATTCATATTGCAATGATCTCTGATAAGAAAATAATACTAATGACATACATACATTGATACATACATAGATACATACTGACCCTGTGTCTATTTTAAAGTATTAAATACTAAAACTAATTTTCACATGCATGTATGTTTGGCCTCTGTCACAAATGAATTTAAACATTTTCAGACACAAAGTGACGAAGAGAAGACCACCCTCACATAGCAATCAGCTGTAAAATGTTAAATAGTGTCTCACAGGGCACAAGTATGTAAAAGACAATGTTTTCTACTGAGGTAAAGACGGTATATTAAAGGGCCCATATCACGGTTTTTGACTTTTCTCTGCTTTAAACATGATTACAATGCTATTTGGCCTTCATACACAAGCCCACAGTAGTTTATTCATTGATTCTGTCAATCTTTTGTAAGAGAGCAATCTGTCTCCTTCCCCAGCGTGAGGCACAGAAACGCTCGGGTCCACTTCAGTGACGAAAACCACACTGATGACGCACGACCCCGTTTGCTTTGTATTTAAAATAGTTGTTAAATACTTTTGTCAAAACGGGGTAAACAATACACAATTAGTATGCTGTTTTTTGTCAAAAATAATAAAAATAAAAATAGTAAGTAAGTAAGTAAGTAAGTATTTATTTATATACCGCCTTTTCACTGCAGATCTGAGTCTCAAAGCGGTTTACAATTGTTAATTTTTTGGGCATTTGTCTCTCACTCCACACAGAGATGGGAGCGCGGTCGCCATCACAGGAGGCGCATGCTAGAACTATTGGACATATTTTTAGTGGTAGGGGAAACCGGAGTACCCGGAGGAAACCTACGCAGACACGGGGAGAACATGCAAACTCCACTCAGAAAGGCCCTGGTCCGACCGGGATTCGAACCCAGGACCTTCTTGCTGAGAGGCGAGAGTGCTATCCACTCAGCCACCGTGCCGCCCAAAAAATAAATTAAAAGCCGGCGGGAGGTGATTGACGGATCAAAACAGCGAATCAGAGCGCACAGGCTCCGGCTCCCGAGTCCAGCGTCTGTGGTCTGGTCTCGCGGACACCACATAGAGCTGCTGTTTTTATGCTTTTGTCAGCAACTAAAAGTGTTAGGTCAACTTGAATGAAGTGTGTTATGGGTGTAAATATGTGACTCACTATTTGGCCCTAAGAGGAAGAAAGCGGCTCGACTTTTTTCATCTGTTCATCTCATGGATCTATTATAATAACGGTTCATCTGCGACACTTCACTGAGACTGTTCCAGAACTACAGGGACAATGGAACTGGACTTACTCAAAAGCTGATCTGGAAACACGTTATTCCCACGATAAAAGACGTAACTCGGAACCCTTCGATCTGTAAGTAGTGACGCTAACTCGCTGTATACTTCTGTAAACTAAATAACTAGGGTCTGATTGTGCATCGAGGACATAGGGCTCGATGTGACGGATTGTCATTGTTGGAAAAAGTTTATTCTTATGTATGAAATTACTAAGTACAGGTAAACGACAAAAGCGTGATGCTACGTCACCGTGCGGGCGGGAGGAGGCGGGCTCACAGACAGAGGAGCAGACTCTTCTCTGGATCAGCTCGTTTGAGTCGAGGTGACGTCACCTCTATACAAGAGATGGCTCTAATCTCACAAGCTTTGATTGTTGTGTGGTGTATCATACACATTATTATCACACATGTGTATAGGATTGAGTGTGAAACATGAAGAAAAGCGTGATATAGGACCTTTAAGGTCCCTCCCGAACCTCTGGACAACCCACCTGCCCAGCACCGTCATGGCCTCGCCGTCATCCTTACAGTCCAGCAGTTGGTCGATGTTTGCATGGAGCACGGACAGAGCCAGCTGAAAGATGACTTTGATGCCATCGTAGAAGAAGCAGTCTACCACCACCACCGCGCTCTCAAAGGGCATTACGGAAAGGAAGAGTGTGAGGAACCAGGACAGGGAGATGGTGGAGATCACACCCAAGTCCTGCATGCAGTCGTACAGCTGCGGAACATACTCCCGGGCCAACTCCTCGAACACGCCCTGGTCGACTAGTGCCCCTGAGGGAAGCACAAGGACACACTTTTGTTCAGGTTAAACTAAAGAAAACAGCACTGGTATATGAAGGAATTGTGAGCCGTGTGTGCGCCTTGACCAGTGTGGATCATATGTGCGCACTGACCTACTACTCTGGTGTTGTAATAGTCCGGCAGCATCCTCTCACACAGCGCCACCAGCAACCAAAAGGCCTCCTCCTCTTTGGCATAGAGCAGCAACACAGACGTCACAATGTTCATAGCCTGTTAGAGCAGATGCAACTCACGGGTTAGCTAAAATCATTGACAGTGAATTTTTTTAGTACCTACATCCATGGCAAGAATAACAATTTTTTTTTTAAACCCATTTTAAAACCCAAATTTTTCATATTGAAATGAATTCTGCAATACTGCTCAATTGGTTAGATTAATATATACAGAAGATAAAATGCATATAGTTAAGATTTGACACTTTGATACAGTTTATAATGGCTGCAGAGGGGGTAGAGGGGGTTGACAGGTGACCACCACAATAAACAAGTGAGTCTAAACTTATGTCGCGCATTTCACAGACCTGGGCTGCAAAAAGCAATTTTGTAATTTGGCATATTACGCATTCATAATTGCCATTAAATTCAATTTTAGATGTCTTCTACATTTTCTATATATGATACTTGACTGATATAATTCTACGAACATTTACCAGGGGTTCTGTCAAAACACTCTGTAACCCTCGATGACCCCTGACCCGTTCACCTGGCAGTATCCAATGTTGGGATTCCTGAAGGCGTACGCGGTGAGCACCCGGCGCAGGGCAGCGATCCCCATCTCGTTCTGGAAGGCGGGGTGCTCCGGCAGAGAGCGGTGCAGGTCCCTCTCGATCTCCTCGGTGGCCAGGTTGTACTTCCCCATGGACCTCTCCACCAGGTCTTCATAGTACCCAGGGTGAGTGGCCATCTCGTTGATAGCGCCTTGGAACAGGCGCAGTGTTAAAGGAATGAACAATCAACTGAGGTTAAAAGTATTTTAAAGAGTATCAACAGTGCATCGTGGTTGGGAACGGCCTGTTTAGCAGACTTACTTACACCTACGCTTGTGCAGGACACAATGGTGTGTATCCTTGATTTTGGCAATTTTTTGTGATTAATTATCAAAACTATTAGTTTGCTATACATGCAATCAATGGCTGCTCATATGAAGATTGGGTGGCAGCTCTGAGTGCAACCCCCTGGACCCGGAAATTGATTGATAAAAGGGAATAATGTTATCAATGTGCTTTTAGAGCCCCCAAATATATGTGGACGACACTGACTAAGAATGGTACCTAAAGTATATTTGAATAAGTATTTTTTTTATTTTTATTGAATCACCCAGTGATAGGGGAATACATATACAGTAGTTACATCCAAGGAAAACATACAGTAGTTATATATAAAGAAAACATATACAGTAATTAAATACAAAGAAAATAGATTATACAAACTCTTGTATGGTAGCATTGTGGGGAGGAGGAGGGGTTCAGAGTTGCACAAGAGTGGTGTGTGTGTGTGATATGGCAAAAAAAACCAAAAAAAACAATTTAACACAAATTAAAAAGTATATGCACTGTAAATCTATAGACTGGTCCTGGCGCCGATACCATCACCCAAAAAGGTTGTAAACAATCCTGGGAGGGATCTGATTTACATATTATGACGGGTGTGGTGTAGAGGTGCTAGGATGTGGTGTAGAGGTGCTAGGATGTGGTGTAGAGGTGCTAGGATGTGGTGTAGAGGTGCTAGGATGTGTAGAGTCCTGACTGATGCATTAAAAATCAAGCAGGGGTGGCACAAAAGAGAGTTCCCTCTGGCAACCATCCCCGCTGGTGACCCTAATCTGTGTTCGTGAGGAGTTTGTGTGTATATGTATATACATGTTTGTGGTGGTTTATTTATTTATTTATTTCTCTCAATTATCATTATTGTTATGATTTATCATTATCATTATTGTTGTTATTATTTGTTGTTATTGTTATTGTTATTATTATTATGTTATTGTGATAGGTATATCCCCTTGAATATTCATAGTGCTGGTATTGGCAGAGGTAGTCAACAGATCAGGTGTCGAAACAAAGTCAAACATAAAGGAGAAGAAAAAAGAAAAGAAAAAGAAAAAAAAGAAAACGTTTAGTAAAATTTTGTTGTGGGCATGGGCAGTAAAATGACTGCGATACAACGAGTCCTTATGTTTGTACGTATTTGTTTATGTGCATGTTCATGTTTGTGTGAGTTCATGTTTGTGTGAGTTCATGTGTGCGTGTGCTGCAGTTGTGTGGGGTTAATCAGAGGGATGTATTTGGTGGTAGAGGGCGGCAGCAGACAGAGAGTTGCTTGTGTTGGTTTATTGTTGTCATTACGTTATTGTAAATGTTTTAGTAATATTAAAATAGTTTATGAAGGGTTTCCAGGTTTCTGTGAGGGTCTGTAATTCTCCATCATGATGAGCAGTAGAGAGTGAAAATGAAATGTGCTGAGAGAGAGAGTTAGTCCAGTGGTTGGTATTTATGGAGTTTTTAGATTGCCAGTTTTGTAGGATTGTTTTCTTGGCGATAGTCAGAGATGTCAGTAGGCTGTTCTTGTGTTTTGGTGGGATTTGAAGAGTTGTGGTCAGGCCAAGTATGCAGAGCGTGGGGAGGGGGGGAGACACTGCAGCCCAGGATGTCTGAGAGTTTGTGGGTTACAGTTTTCCAGAATGTCTGCACAGGGGTGCATTCCCAGAGTGCATGAAGGTGTGTGTCAGTGACTCAGTGGCTGTGTTTAAGAATCCCATTTTATATTTTTTATATTGTGTAATGTGTGTTCTGTGAATAATTTTATACTGAATTAGTTGTAGATTAGTGTTGGGTGTCATGGAGAAGGTATTGTTGCATATTTCTGTCCAGTTTTCTTGTGTGAGAGATGTGTTCATGTCCGAATTCCATTTGATCTGTGGTGTATGTATTGTCTCCTCAGTCTTTATGAATTTGTATAATTTTGAGGTTAGTTTCTTAAGTGATTGGATTTTCTTTATGTTTTCTAATATTTGTGGGGGATTTAAAGGGTTGTTTATTATATTAATTTTACTTTTTATTACAGACTTGATTTGTAAGTATTGGAAGCTATTGTTGTGCAGTTTGTATTTTTCGGAGAGTTCTCTGTATGTCATACATTTACCGTTATTAAAAAGATGATGCAAGTGAGTAATTCTGTTCTGTTCCCAAGAGTGAAAGTGAATAGGTGTATTGTTAGTTTTGAAGTCAGGATTGTGCCAGAGGGGTGTGTATTTACGGGGTGTAGTGGGTGAGTTGTTTAATTTCAAAGTTTTCCACCAGGCTGTCAGAGTGTTGGAGATGGTTAAGTTCTTAAAGACCTTATGCCGGGTTTAAAAAAAAAAAAAATTGTGGATATCAAAATTGCATGACAATGTCGATCTGAAATAGATTCCGGCAAAAAAAAATCCTATATTTTATAAAAAGAACGTGTTTTTCATGAATTTAAGTTGTCTATGCTCTAACCTGTGTGTGACGTCATAGCGGGTTACGCCCATGCATTGAAAACCATGGATCTATGCCACAGGACTGCCTTTTCTCTCTTCTCTCCACTGATGCCCAACACAATACTGCCCTCTACAGGTGACAATTTCTCACTACACATAAATTGCCGTTTTGAGAGTGAAAATGTGTCTCAGGTGGGATTTGAACCCCAGTATCTGAATTGGGAGTGCATCGACACAACCACTGGACTATCTCAGTGCCAACGAACTAATACAATCTAGTAGAAACTTTAGACTCGCTGTACACGGCCTTGTCATCTTGAATATCCGCGAAAAAAGAACGAATACCAAATTGTAAACAACTTACAACGTTGAAACGTACCCACTCTCTTACGTCACCGCTGTGAAGTTTTTTTGTTTCTAAGGGCGTTGCTATGGGGTTATTTCGATTTGGGGGGATCAGACAAAAAAAACAACAACTGATTTTGAAACCTTTAGTAGTTCTCTTCTAATATAAAATGGTATTAAAACTGTATTTCTAAATAAATCAAACCCGGCATAAGGTCTTTAAATGAGTCGTGTTTCTTTAGGCTGGTACTTATGGCTGGGGTGTCTTCTAAGGGTAGTTTTTTGAAATATGATTGTTCTATTTGAATCCATGGGTTATTGGGTGGTGGTTTTGTCCATTTTACCAAGTAAATTGTGAATAAGTAAATGTGGGATTTTGAGTGTACAAAACACACTGCAAAGGGAAGTATAGTTGAGTATATTTGTGTTTCTGCATTCCGATGAATGCTTGTCTAATCTTTTCCTCCTCTATAGAGAAGAATCCAGTTACAGAGGTTCACATGATTCAGTTTCTGGTGTCGTCAATTCTACCACACCATGTGCTGAAGTTGTCAAACAAGTATGTTTTGGCCAGAAGCCACATTTGCACTGGCCCCAGCCAAGGGGGTAACAGAGCATTGTTCCAGTAGAGACACTGAGGTGATGAAGTGTTTGAGTTGTAAACAAGGAAGCTAAACAGTAATTTTACAAAGCTGGAGATTAGACTGAAGCTGAGCAGAGAATACTTGAGCATATTCGAGTTCAAAAGTTGTACTCTTATATTTTTACAGCTGTGTTTGTGTCAAAGAGTCTTTAAATAGGGAGAAAACAATTATTTAAACAATAAAATAGATGACAATTACATACAATTAGTTGCAATAAATATTCATACTATTGGATTATAGCTCAATTGACTTGTCATTAAATTTTAGTAAAAATTTTTATTTGACTCAGGGCTGGGCGACATGATAACGTTTATAGCAATAGTATGATTTTTAGGATCGTGGTAAGATTTTTTGTTTCATAAATACATTTGTTTGTCCCAACACTAGTCTTGCATAAACACATTTGTGAACAAATCAGACCACAATATTAGAACACCTTTTAACGGTTATGATTTTTCCCAGTGCTATTTTTGTTGTGAATTATAGTGTTATTGTGATATTGCCCATCATTTATTTGGCCTTATTGTCCAGCCCTAGTTTGCAAGTTAAAATGTTTTGGCCTGTTCATCTGAAATCTCCAGTAGTTTAAGAGAGAAGAGCGTCCCTCCAGCAGTAGTTACAGAATCCTTTGTTTTCTGTCACTGCAGAGTGTCTCTAGTTCCTGTTTTCTTTAGGGCAGTGTCTCCCAAAGTGGGGTCCACGGCGGTATTGCAGGGGGGGGCCGCAAAAGGTCATTATATAATTATTGCATGAAAAATTAATAATATTTTGTTTGCACTATTAAAGTAGTTGTGTTCATTATTTCACATGAATAATCAAGTTGTAATATTATTTTTATAACAAAATGAGGTGCATCATTTGAATGTTTGTAGCAGAGGCTATTTCCCCCAGATAAAATAACGAGAAGAGCCTATTTTTAATGTTGTCTTCTTGGTTATCATTTTGGAGGCCGCGCAGACCCGTCAGATTTTTAAGGGAACCGCGGTGTAACTGACTTTGGGAATGGCTGCTTTAGGGCATGCGTGTGTGCGCGTGTGTGCGTGCGTGTGTGCGTGCGTGCGTGCGTGCGTGCGTGCGTGCGTGCGTGCGTGTGTGTGTGCGCCTGCTGCTCACCAGAGAACAGCAGCCACAGGTCGCCCCTCATGTCCTCGGGGATCCCCTGCAGCACCAGCTCTTTGGTCTTCTCTGTGCGGTACATACACACTCCCTGACCAAACTCTGTGAAGTGGTTCTTCCAGGACTGCTCCTTCAAGAACTCCTTGGCCTGCGTGAGGATCAAGAAAATGTTTAGTTAGTTATTTCATGTAATATTTCTTGTTTAGAAGTCCCAAAATGTGTAAATGAGACTATCCACTTTGACCTTTCATGTTTTAGAATGTGTCATGTATTGAGTATAATCATATGGAGTGTAAAAAGGATTTAAGATTGTAAACCACTTCCACCACCAGGGGGATCAAACCCAATTCAATGGGACAATTTCCAACACTTATTTTTCTAAACTTCTCTTTTAAAAGGTAGGCTCTAACCATGATGTAATAGTATAAGGATTCATCATAGTGGAAAAGAGTGGTGCGTGGAGCATTGAGACAGAATGGACGGAGGTGTGTGTTTGTGACAGAGGTTTCTAATATTAATAGCATGGATGAATAAACACCAGCAAAAAAATAAAAATAAAACAACTCCAGGTCTGTTTTTTGATGATCAATATTGTGGATAAATAAGTGGGTTGAAGAATGATCCTTTACAGGGCAACATGTTTGAAATATGTATCTACTTCAGTGCAAAAAACAAGAAGACAAAACATTAAAGAAGAGAAGGAAAAATCATCCCCACTAGGATTATAACTGAAGCATAAACTGAATTACTTAAGTTACTCCTTTTTGCAGTTATAATAAAAATCGATGTAACAATTACGACAAAAAAAGAACAATACTATAACACTGTATACCCCTACAGTATATTTACACTTATAATAGATATGTAATGACTCTTGCAACATATTCATGCAAGATCATGTGTTAAATTCTAAATCCTTTGGGGAACGACCTGAAAGGGGTTGGCGAACCACATGTTGGAGACCCCTGCTCTAGAATAAGGTGTGCTAACATTTGCTAGCTCTCCCTCACCAGTTTGGGGTTGAAGTCCTCAGGGGAGCGACGGCGGTACATGGTCATGAGGGCCTGTGTGGCTGTGGGGACACTATGGTTGAGGTTGAAGGTCCTTTCGCTGTCGGAGCCCAGGCTGGTCTGAGGGCTGCTGGAGAGGTTGGAGCTGTGGGAGAACACCTGCAGAGGACACGACACAGACCCGTGTCAACACCTCATTCGTTACTAAATTACAACTATTTCAATAATCATTTGCAGTGGACCCTCATTTATCGCGGTGTTACGATCTAAAAAGTAACCCGCAATAAGAAAACTACTCTGTAAAGTAGCAGCTATATGTTTTAAGGATGTAAAACCCCTCACAAAACACTATAATAATGCATCGGTTTTATATAGCACCTTTTTGGACACTCAAAGACGCTTTACATGTCATTATTCTTTAACTCCATACACGGTGGTGATAAACTACTACTGTAGCCACAGTTGCCCTGGGGCACACTGACAGAAGTGAGGCAACCAGTCTGTGCCATCAGCCCCTCTGACCACCACCAACCATTCACACACACACCAGACTCATAGGCAATGGGGGTAAAGTGTCTTGCCTAAGGACACAACAGCAGTTTGGCACTTTACAGCCACAGTCGCCCCACTGTGGCTGGTGTTCCCAGAGGTTAAGTGTCTTGCCCAAGGACACAACGACAGCAGACAGTGGGAGTCGATGGTGAAAGTCTTGAGGTGGGCTCGAACCCACGACCTTCTCGCTCAAAGGCCAACGCTCTACCAACTGAGCTACTGTCGCCTCTATGTACACTTTTCTAACCCCCTGATCGCGGGGATATCATCTGTCTGAGCGCTGCTGCAGCTGTCAAAAGCCATGAGGAGCAGGACCATTTCCGTGTTATTTTTAGTGAAACTTTAAGTCAGTAAATTTTAACTTTAAAATGTTGTTCAGAAAAGGTGTAAAACAACTTGTAACTATATATTACATCTACATTGTGTCGCAAGATAACAGAGAAACGTTCACAATATCACATACAATCCCTTTTTTTTTTAACGATCAGCCTGCATCTTGACCATTTGGTAAAGGCTTATAATAAAAAAATTGGTTGTTAAAAAATGAAATTAAATAGTTAGTGTTATTAAATAATTAATACTCCTACATCTTAGAAAATCCCAAAAAGAAAAAATTACATTGCTTTCTTCAAGGAGTGAACGTTAAAGAGCTAAGTTCCTCTCGTGTGTCGAAATTGAATAGGTCCATAAATAAACATGAGAACTAAAAAAACTACTTTGTGCATGTTTTCCAGTGATTATTTGATTCAATAGTTACATAAGTTACATAAGGGATGTTGATTGGTTTGCCTAGTACCTCATCGTCGGAGCTGTTGAGGCTGCTGCTCAGCTCTTTCTCCAGGTAGATCTTGGATGTGGTCTGCTGCAGGAAGTCGGAGATTCTCTGCACCAGGAAGTCTCGGTCCTTCAGATTGGCGAAGAGAAAGGTCATGCGGTTCTTGGTGCTGATGGAGAGAGGCCTGGGCAGGACGTTGGAGCTGTCGGCCTTCTCCACAATAGTCACCTGTGTGGCCAAAGGATGATCGGTTTTGTTAGAACAGCGGTGCACACAAGCCTCAAAATTCTTCTTCTGACTTTAAATAGAGGTAATTGTCATGTAAAAGTAGCAATGCCTTAAATTTAATGTCTTTCATTTATACAGGTGAAAGACTTATCATATGTAAAGTGCGATGCAAGGCCTTTGGTATAAATGTAATAATTTGTTAATTATAGCGAACAGTCCATTGTCAAAATGTTATTTTTTCAGATGTTTTTGGGTTAACAAGCTGTGGGAAATAGAAGAATGTTTGGGTCTGCAACAGCAGAGAATGCTGAAAACAACTACTATAATTAGATACAAAGACACCATTTTTCCCACAGAGGTGAGATTTCAGAAAGCCTGTGTTTGGAAATCATGTGTTGCTTTTCATACAAGAAATGCAACACAAAGTGCTTTACAGTTAGGTAAAAAAAAAAAATGGAAGGCGTACTTCTCTCAGTGGGATGATGAGGCTGCAGAAGCTCTCCTCTTTGCTCATGAAGCAGATATAGTTAGTGGAGACAAACATCTGTCCCAGGATGTGCATCTTGTTGAAGGGGGTCCACAAGGTGCAGTCCGTGTGCCCGTCCAGCTTCTCGTCTTTGGGGAGACGGAACAGGGCCCGGTAGCGCTCACTCTTGGCTCTGGCATCCAGGTCCCTGAAACAAAACACTTCATTTAACTCAGTACACAAATAGATCAGTATATTAGTGCTCCATAATATCTATTACACTTAAATACCTCCATTCTTAGCACAGATTGTAGTGTGCGGATTATCAATAAATCCACACACAATGAAACCTGTGTGAATTTGTTAAGCAAGCGCAGAGATAGTTTATCCTTGAGGGGTTGTAATAACAGCAAAAACAACAACACGCTTACACAACAGCTGTCCTCAAACAGGAGTTCACCAACGTTTAGAATATTACAAATACATTATCCATTTGTTCATAATTTTACTGTTTACAAATTAATACATATTTTTTAACACTGTATTTTTGGAGTGTTTAATGGACTTGCTCCTCCTCCTTAATGGATTTTATATATATTTTTAAAAACAACAGTGAAGTCGGAACAAGCACTAACCAGGGGAGACTTTAATGTACAAAGGCACAGGACTAAATTCAGCCAAGCGGTGGTGTCCATCAGAGGCACAACATTATGAAAGACCTTGAATGTGTGTGTGTTTGTAACGCCCATGTTGGAAGAGTAAGATACTTTGTTTTTTTTATTTATTTTTTAATTATTATTATTTTAATAATGTTTAATTGATTTCTCACTGAGCTGTCATATCGTCGTGTGTGTGTTTGTGATTTATATATAAAAAATATGTAAAAGCATGTAATGATTTTGAGGAGACCCTTAGGAAGATTAGCCACTGCATCTCAGTGGCTAATGGGGATCTTAATAAACTAAACTAAACTAAACTTGCCAGAACACGAAAGCCTTAAAAGGGTCATGACCCCAGTGGCTCTTTAATAAATGGAGGGTTCATATGAAATCTGTAGCTTGAACTGAAACAATGTTATATGTTATAAATTATAAACTTAAACGGCCCCTTAGCCCCGACACTTTAACAAAGTTTCAGTGAAACGTCCCCACGTCTGCTCTGCAAATTTGCAATAATATTGTCTGTAATAGTGTGTTATATAACACCCCCGCCTCCCCCTTTCTCTTTCATTCAATCACAATCTCACTGTGACACATACAGATCGTATGTGTCACAGTGACACAAACTCGGGGACCATTGAATTTTTGTATTGAGCAGCGTTCATTCCCATTTTTTTTTTTATGGGAAGCCCTAAATTCCGAGTTCCCGAGATCGCATGAAAACAAAAACTTTTAAACAGGAGCAGCGAAGTTACATGTTTGTGCCACAAGTTCCTGATGATGGACCTAAAAACCACTCTAGGTCTGTTTTTTATTGAGGGAACACAGTGGTGACGTGTTGACATGCTTCCAAAAGATCAAGAAGCATGCAGCAACACGTAACCTTCACTACTCAATAATATTTAACAAACTAGAATAAGACCTGCTTTCTTCCTACCTCTTGAGCGCTGACACTTTCTTGGGAGACTTCTTCTTGAGTTTGGGCAGGGACCGGTCCTCCTCAAAGCCTTGGTTGTCCAGCAGTTGCCTCATGGCGATGTTGGCCAGCTGCTCGGCCAGTTTGAAGGTCTCGTTGATGTTGAGAAAGACAGAGAAGAGGAGCTCGCTGCAGCGTGTGCTCACTTTGATCACATCAGGGAGCAGGAGCGTGGCACTCTTCTCCAGCTGCGTGATGTCCGCCCACCGCACCACCAGTATGGCTGACATGGAAGGACAGACGTTAACAGAACGGACATTACATTTGTTTCTTTTCACATTAGATTAATTTCAAACATGTAATTGTCAGCAAAAGTATGTTAGTACAACCAACAACATAACAAGAGAAGTCAAAAGTCTATAGAAAAGATAATACATACACACGCTATGAAATAAAGCTTTGGATTTAATTGATAAAGTCAATTAAGAGTAACTAGAATGTTGCAGTTAATCGACTTCATCAATCATATACAACTCCTTATGTCCTCGAGTTTTGGTGAAACTCACAAAATTAGAATATTGTTCAAAAGTTATTTTATTTCTGTAATTCAACTTATGATAGAGACTCATTACATGTAAAGGGACAAATAATGTTGATGATTCCGGCTTACAAACTACAAGCTGTGAGGCACAATTATCAACATTATAACAAATTAAGGCTCGATATTTCTGACTTTGTACATAATGAGTCTGTCATAAAGTGATACGCAGAATTTGTGAAGTAGCAGTGGTAAGTTTGAAGGCTGTAAATCCCCTCACACACTTTATACACTTTTCTAACCACCTGAACTCACACCTGATGAAGTGCGATCGCAGAGATATCAAACCCATTTCGTACTGGTGAGAACTCTGCTGCAGCTGTCAAAAGCTGTGCATACACTGTCGAATACTGTGACGTCCTCTGAACTAATCACTGCTGTTAGTATGTTTTTTTCTGAGCAGGCTTCTCTTATCAGCTATATCTCCCTGGGTGCCACCCTTTGTCACCCTTTGTCTCACAGCCAGATCTGTCTGTATGTCAAATGAACAAACACGTGACATCACAACTGCTGTGTATTTGTCTGATTGCTGGCTCTCTCGGTCTGTGGTCCCCGTCTCTTGCAACATCATATAGTTACAACACAAAATCAGAGATATTGCAGGAGGTCAGGAGAGCCTGCACAGTCAGCAGAAACACTGGTGCAAGTCCATATGCTGACCAGCTACTTTCACAATACACTGATAAAACAGTCTGAAATATTATCTGGATGAAAGCAGCACAGTGTGTTTAACTATTTAACTTACTCATGCATTACTTACTCATGCATTCATCAGATATTATTGATTATTTGGTTGGAGACCAGGAGCTGGTCAGGAAATGGGTTTTACTTACTTCTGTTGGGTTTTGATTTTATCTTCTTGTATAATATTTTTATGAACAAAATGAGTTTATTGTTTGGATTGAACCAAAACTCAAATTATTGGTCATGTTTTATAGTGAACTATTTAACTTCTAATTACGTGTTGAGTTTAAATATTAGAATACATTAAACCATATAGACGATATAAATATAGCATAATATAAATAGCATTAAAATGAGATATAACATACCATAGTAAGTCATCAATGTTGCAAGTCAATAATTTCAGAGCCCACAAAACATGGTCTATTCATTAAGTCCAAAAACAGCACTTTTTAAAAATGTAAGAAATACTTGAGAAGTCATTATTATGTGTATACAATATATTTTAGCGCACGACTGGCCAAAGATCATTTTAAAAGAATGTCTATTTCTGACCATGGAATCCTTGTGTAAAGTTTTTTCAACAATAATACACTTGAGTAGTCCCTTTGACATGAATACAACTATAGAGAGAGTTTCATCTGTCATCTACAGTCTCTCTCCCTAAAACCTTCAAACAAGGTCAGAAATCTAGGGGTAATACTGGACTCAGACTTAAATTTTAATAGCCACATCAAATCAGTAACATCAGCAGCTTTTTGCCATCTAAAAAACATTGCCAGGATCAAAAACATAGTGTCTAAAGCAGACTTGGAGATTCTTATCCATGCATTTGTCTCCAGTAGGTTAGACTACCGCAATGGCCTGCTCACAGGTCTGTCCAAACAGGCTGTAAAACAGCTGCAGTACATTCAAAATGCAGCAGCTCGAGTCCTGACTAGAACCAGGAAGTACGACCACATTAGTCCAGTCCTCAGGTCTCTGCACTGGCTTCCTGTGGCTCAGAGAATAGACTTTAAAACAGCTCTGCTTGTGTACAAGTCTCTCCATGGCCTCGCACCAAAATATATTAGTGACATGTTAGTCCCATATGAACCAGCCCGGACTCTGAGGAGCACAGGGACTGGACTCCTGTTAGTGCCCAGAGTCAGAACTAAACATGGGGAGGCTGCTTTTCAGATTCATGCTGCTAAAATCTGGAACAATCTTCCTGAAGATGTGAGACAGGCCTCCTCGCTGACAAACCAGGTTAAAAACAGTTCTGTTTAGCTGTGCATAAAACTGAGGGATTTTATATTTTATATTTGTATCTTTCTTTTTAATGTACTGTGATTATTTATGATTTTAATGCTTTCTTATTTTTGTTCAGCACTTTGAGTTGCCTTGTGTATGAATTATGCTATACAAATAAACTTGCCTTGCCTTGCCTAGAGAATAGTTTAACCAATGACAATAGGCCTCAAGGATTTGAATTAATTTCGTCCATGGGTGTATCTAACCAGTTCTTGCAACAACATCCACATTTTATCTCATAATTCCCTGGGCATCACTGTGAGCAGCATTGTGAGTGGTGGGGTGGACCCGGAAGGGGAATTACCCAAATACTGTTGCATGCCTAAACTAGGCTGATCCAAAAGAGTCGCAGCTGACTTTAGAATGCACTTGTTAAATGAATGGGGCTCATGCCAGCTATCGCATGCGCAAACAAGTTTTTTCACATTTTCCTGCCCCACAGCCATTTTGAAAAAGCCTACAGAAGGGAAAAGCAGTGGCACATTAGTTCAAATCATTTCAATGACGGCGATAGGCTTGACTACGTCCGTTAACATTTACAGTCTATGATTGTGAGAGGCAGACCTTCTTTGCCGAGCAGGTAGGAGTAGAAGCAGAGGTGGTTGATGCTGAGGTAGAGCCAGCCCTGCCGTGGGACCTTGCCCTTCCAGTAGCTGCAGGAGTAGTAGTTGACCAGCTTCTCCTCCTCAGGCATTCCGAACAGCTTCCGGAACCGAGCGCTGGCGTCTTTGAACTTATCCGTGTCGTCGTCCTCCTTCACCTCATGGTTCTTGTTGTACTCTGCGATGATGCCCTGTGTAATGTTACTCACAATAAAGATCTGTTGTTTGGACGACTACTCAGTCTACAGCGTCTTAGCCGTGTAAAAAACAATTGAGTCGTTCTGACATGCCAGCCCGTGTGTCTCAGTGTGTAAGGATTATGCTCAGTGGGAATATGGCTTCAGTTAAAGGGACCTTCTGCAATATTTTCATTTCAAATTACATCTGTAGCGGCGATTGTCCATAACTTAAACCAAAACAAATCAAAAGGTCACTTTAGGCGTCTTCAGGTTTGCTTTAGAAAACAAAATGTGCATTTTAGGTGTGTCCTTTTTCCAAGAAAATGGTAAACATGCAAACTGCTCTTCTATGCTTGTAAAAGAGCATTTGCCCAAAACGCCTATACTCTCCCACCGTAGTCTAAAAATCTAAAAATGGACAAACATCTCCAACAACATATACATTTATAAATAATAATTGACATTTTCTGAACGACAATGTAAAGTGGAGTTATTCATGATGAAAATATAATAATAATAATAAGGTGATTTATGTTTTTCATTTTCAAGCAGTTTATCCAATCAAAAAGCAGAGTCCCTCATTTCGCTACTTTTTTAAGTGAAATGGAGCTGGATTTGGCCCTTTTTCACAAATTGTACAAACAAAAAATAGCGCCACACATAGTGGTCATAAATAATACACAGATTGTATCATTTCCAGCTAAATTCCCCAGATACCGGTAAGGTGGCTACATTCCACGTGCTGAAACCTGAGATCGAATACCAGCACAGGTAAGGTCTTCATTCATAACCATTAGGTTTCAGTTCAGAGGCATCCGACATCACAACATACTCACTATGCATTAGTTCTTTCACAACTAGAAAGATCAAGGCAATTTAGTTTCTTACAAAATACATTTTAGCATGTTATCAGAGATTTAGTTACAGGTTCTAATTTGATCTATTGTGATTGCCTTTTTGAGGTTAATACCAACAGATTTCGTACGCACTACTACTTTTCCCCCCATGAATAGGCTCATAAAGGTTTACCTGGACTTTTCCTTTGACAAACGTGGTAATGTCGTTCTCGTTCTCAAAAATGGAGAGAGTCTGCAGCAGGTTGTGTTCCAGCCACTCCCAGTGCTCTGTAATTTCTTTCCGGGATGTTCCTACACAAAAAGTAGAAATATTAATAAAAGAAGAAATATTAGGCAATATTCATGGCCGTTTTAAATTGTGATACAACAATTTACTTTGCCATTTTGTGTTTTAGATGGTGATCTTCCGTAGAAAATATATGGTCAAAAAGGTATAAAGGGTCATTATTGCTATTGGCCTGCCATCCTCGATCTCGATCCTACCACCAGAAGGAGGGGTAGATTTTGGATTTTAAATAAACACATTTTGTTGACATTTGTTACCATCACAAGTGTTATTACAACTTCATTATCATAAATAATTTATGGCCACTTCTTCTGTTTTAAAAGGCCAGAAACTATAATGTCATAGTGGTGGAAGAAAGTATTGCAGGCCTGAGACTTTAACCCTCTATGCACATGGGTCATTTTGGGGAACTTTCCTCGCCTGGTTTTCTTTGTGTATAATTGTTCATAAAACAGTCATCTTTTGATGCAGAGTCAAGCAGTATACTTTGTTTTTTTCAGTACAACCTGGGGTTTTAGAATATTCATATTGTAAAGCTGTCATATGAATTATATAAAAATTATGGAATCATGAAGACAAAGAAAAAAATCAAACGGAAAATCAATTTAACAAAAATTTATTGAAAAAACACAATGAAATGCTATAAACAACTTTTTACACTGCATAGAAATGTTATTTATGGTCTTGGGGATAATGGGGAAAACAATTGAATCTCTAACTATTATACTTTTTACAAAATTCCACTATAAAAGCAAAAAACTCTGTACTCCTGATGCCCTTCCTGAAGCAGTTTGTCTATAATGCTGGGGTTGCTTCTGTAGTACAGCTGTAAAAAACGTAAAACATAAGAAACTGAGCCAAAAAAAAAAAAACATAAATTATTTATATAATACATATATTTATATACATCATATACACATAATGTCATTTTACTGTATTTATTATCGTCTTTATCAATAATGCGCACTCTTCAGCCGGTTATTGCAATCGCAGCTGTAGTTTCAACTGTGGGAGAACAAGTAAACGCAGAGGAGTGAGAGATCTCACTCTCTGACGATCTTTAGCAGTCCCCGTGTGTTTGTATCTCACAGCTGTTTGTACCTCACGGGTCACGCTTTGGACACGGACTTTCAGACAAACGTAGTTTATCCTCCGTGCATCGCACAGACAAATCAAAAGTTTCGGAAAGCCCTGAATACGTACTTCACAGAGGAAAAAAAAGTAAGTTGCTACGTTTTACCGTTCGCGAGTAAATTGATCATTTGTAAAACATGTGCGCGTGCATCGGCGCCGATGCACGCGGGCATATAGGGTTAAACAGAAGTGTGATAATAGCGTGGCTGGATGAATATTATGTCTCCTTTAAAGTCAGATTCAATTTTTATTATAGTGTATTGTATTTTTGAGGAACACAAGTTACTCTTGCAGCCAGCAGTGGATAGCGATTGTAATGATATCTTCCAGTGAGCCATTAGCATCCACAGAGCAGTGAACAGAGCTGAGAGCACATTAGGAGACTACTCCTTGCTCTGGGGCAAGAGTGGACCATGGGGAAAGGAATGGTCTGGCTTTTGTTTGTCCGTATAAATTTATGAAAACCAAAAGATGCCTTTAAAAAACACAAAACATTCCAGATGTATAAGGTTTAAACGTCTTCGATGACAATTTGATTATGATGTCCAGTTTATGAAGATTTCTTTGTAGCTGTGCCCATGTATAGACCAGTCACCTTCAACGGCTAAAGCACCCATTAAATGTGAGGCCCTCACAGAACAAAAATCAGATCCCTTGGCGGGCCTAATTTTGCCCCTGAGCCTTAAGTTGCCAACTGACTGAGTGTGACGTAGGGCTGGGCAATAAATCAAATTTTGGCAATTAATCAGCTTTTGAAAAAATCGAATTCGTGAAAATTGTGAAATCGAATGAAGGATAATGTGAGAGTTCCAGCAGCACATCAATTATACTTGCAATATCAGCACAGTCTGTACAAGACTTGTATAATATGTATTGGGGGAAACAAATAAAAAATAGTTTTGAAACTTGAATATTGAGCGGGAAGATAAGAAATATTTTAAGGGCAAAGCCTGTCTTGAGTGACTTTATCGTCCAAAGCATTAAATAAAATCGAGATTTTACTTTTTTGCCATATCGCCCAGCCCTAGTGTGACGTCACCCTTAGTATTTGATCAATGGCCTTGAAATGTGAGTGTCCCATACCAACCAGCAACCAAAGAGCCAATCAGGAGTGAGATTTGTCCTTTTTATGAGGTGTGAGCTGAAGTTGACTTTATGAAGAAATGGCCCCCGATAACTCAGAACATATTATATTGAGTGGAGATGGTGGCGTATGTGAAAGCAATATCCCATCAGACCTCTGAAGTTAAGCAGGGCCTGGTTAGTACTGTGATGGGGGTTCTCTTGGAAAACCAGGGGCCACAGTGGGGCGGATGTGGCTGTAAAGTGCCAAACTGTTCCCTCAGGCAAGACACTTCAACCATATTGCCCAGAATGAGTCCGGTGTGGTATGAATAGTTGGTGGTGTTTGGAAAGACTAATGGTACTTGGTTGCCTCGCTTCTGTCAGTGTGCCCTCCGGCAGCTGTGGCTGCAGCAGTAGTTTATCACCACTGAGTGATGCCATGTGAAGTTGTGACTTTGAGTGTCCAAAAAGGCACTATATAGAACCAATGTATCATTTTGTTGTGGCTGATTAGAACAATAAAGAATATTATTGGAACTAATAAGGCCACCGATGCAAGTACAGAAAAGTCTGCATAATCCTAGTAACAATTCTGTGTTAGTTAAATCAATTCAAAAACAAAATAAATTCAACTGCACAATAAAGTAATATTTAGTCTTATTATATGACATGGATCGTTCACGCGCTCTGATTGGCTAATTTGCGGTCTGATATTTTCCCATCTCGGACCGTTACCATGACAATTGGTCCGCAGCGCGTATCAAATTTGATATCCTTACTCGGTAAAAAAGAAATAATGAGCGACGACTGGGAGCATTCTCCCAGTGAATTCTATTTTTACCTTCAGAGAAAGGTAAAAACACGATTAGGAAAATCAAGTCGGACATGAACATACTTCACAAATATCTAAAAAGCATTAAAGACACAGAAGAGATTGAGAACTTACCAGCGGCGACCTCAATCATCTGATAAGCAAGTTCGCTCGTTTAATAAGCCGTTAATATCAAACTATCTAGCAACAGCTAAAACCTCACCATTTTACATAGATAACAGCATAAACAATTACAGTGATAAATATTGAGGTCCAAAATACATAGTTTTATACATGTGTGATTGAATGATAAATCAATAAAGCTGGATATTTAAAGAACATTGTTATTACGTAAACTGGTACAAGGGACCAATATTACAGGATTGGTCTGCTTTTCTTTCTTTTGTATATTTTCTAGAAGAGAAAAATAAAGAAATACCTAAAGAAATAACACTTTTTAAGTAAAGCTCATTAACTGTTCCATCTAATCATGTGGCTGTATTGATTTCTGCCCTAACTTTCTGCAATCCTGCCCTTTGAGACTACAGAGTGTGATGTAATGCTCTGTCTGAATCTGCTAACATTGAAAAAGGAGGCTATCCGACCACGTGAAAAGGGAAATTCTAATCCTACTACAGCCAGGTTACATAAGTCATCTGAGAAAATATGGGGACAGCATGGTTGCAAAGGTGAGGGGAACGTACCGTGGGCGATGAGCCAGTAGCCCAAAGAGTCTGGGGTCTGGTAGAGGATCCGGTACGGGGCCATGCGTGCGTTCGAGTCCAGCACCACGTCCAGGGTTCCAACCAGTAAGCCTGCAAGAAGAACAATGTGAGAGGTACAAACAGATTGCGGTAATATATCATTGGAGGCAATAGTACATGTGACGTCACGCTCTACCCACAATTCCGCAGTTCGCCATATTGTGCGTCAAGCCGCCGATAGTTGTAGGTAAACAAAGCGTAGCACATAACTTTTTTTGCGCTAAAAAACAAAAACTCCAATCACTCTCAATTTCTCCAAATATCTTGCCTCACAGATTACTCCAGTGTGTCAATATACTTAACACAGCGTCGGCCAAATTCGTGGCTTTAGAGGACATGGGGACAAATGATCAGTGACAAATTATCCGTGACTAATGATCAAAATAAGCTTGACGCACAACATGGCGTTCACGCAAAGCATCATAAGCACGTGGCGGAAAACCATCTATAGCTGCTATCTGAGATCGTTCATTGTCTTTTGTACTGAGGCCTGGTGTCACAGTGTTTGTCACTGGTCTTGTGATGTTGAAGGCTGTGATGCGCTTAATAAATCCATTATTACATGTTTAACACCCTTCTTCCTGTAAAGATACATCATGTGTTGCTGGATGTATACATATTTAGTAAGTAAGCTTTATTTATATAAAACATTTTACAGACCAAGGTCAACCAAAGCACTTTACAATTGGCGCATCAGCCTGCATTCAACACCATCCATTCTCTCTCTCATTTACATTCATAACTATTGTGCATGTTTTTAGTGGTAGGGTAAACCGGAGCACCCGGAGGAAACCTACGCAGATACAGAGAGGACATGCAAACTCCTTTCATTTTTGTGTGTGATTATTTTTTACTGGGGCCAGAGTGTGGATGGCCAGGCCTGATTGTTTTGCCAAATAAATATAATCAGCAAAGGCAATATTCTTTTAGTTGTGTCTTTCTTTATAAATCTTCGTCGCTTATCTCTTGTTTTGTTTCTACTAGACACAGTACGGTTAATTTAAAGTGAAGGTCAGTTACTTTTCAATTTGGGAAGATGGAGAGATGTTTTTTAATGCAAGCACCAGTTAGACTTGCTGTTAGTTGGATGCAATGGGTTCAAATCCTTGATAGACAGCTAAGGCCCCTCCCCATTGGTCTAACTATTCTCCTCCAGCAGATATTACTGGTGATACTTATTTTTCCTGGGGGGACTGTTTTAAATATATCTCTTATGGGTCATATTGTCAAAAATATGTATTCTTCTCAAAATGAAACACAATTGAGACACCACCTTTAAGGTTCTATTGTGAATAGGCAAAGTTGTGCAATGAGAGATGTGATTATTAGTTATATTAAAACTGGGTTGGCTAACATACATTGCCAACAGAAAGTCTTATTTTGTAAACAAATCAACATGCTGTATTCATCTTATTAAAAGGTTTTTTTCATTTAGTTTGTATCTTTTTTTCACTAATCTGTCTGAAAAAGATGATCCAAAGATGTAGTAAGTAGGTTCATTAAATAGATTTTGTTGTGGTTTGAAAGTTAGGACTGGTCTGCAGAAGAACACACAAAAACAAAACTTACTAATGATTTAGACGTCCTCATAAATTAAAAATAAAACATCCCTTCTCATCTCCTGCTGCTATTTTCAACGGTAACCTATTTATAGGAAAGTAGGAGGCTTTAAAAAGGTCCAAAATGAGTCATGGCAGGAGGAGGTATGGACAATGGGAGAAGTGTGTTCTGCCACTTATGTTCAAAGAAATACAAGTTCCAGGTTTTAAGTTTATTTAAATTTATTAAGGAAAACCCCTTGAGATTAATCATCTCATTTTCGAGGGGGTCCTAAACATAAATACAAGCATATAAACAAACACGCATACACTTTTTTTTTTTTTACAGCGAATTAAAGATTAGTTAAGTTGATTAAACACACACAAAAACAAAAGATTGTGTCTGCCATGTGATCCTCCCCTTCTCTATGCTCAAACATCTGAGTAGACCCCGTGTCTGGGAGATAGGAGCTTGTTTACAATCCCAATAAAAGACTTCAGTTGACTGTAGGCATGTTGGCTGTTGACTCAAAAGCAAGGATAATTGGCCCCTAATAAAGCAGCATTGTGTAGGAGATACGGAATGGGAAGTAAACAAGCAAGTGTGACTGTCCGTTTTACAATAGAAGTCACAAGGGAGACCATTAGAGTTCACATTTTGACAGACGGGCAGGGCCACCTCAATAAGAAACCACGAGGCACCAGGGCTTATCCCGGATTGTAGCCCCCCCAACCCACCTGCAACTTCTACATGTAGCAAAAATAAAAGTTACATGAAATTGTTAACGCAAAAACAACAACCACTCAACTAAAACAGACAACTATAGGAGAAAACCTGCCTCAAGAATAATGAAATAATCAAACTAGTTAAGCCTTATACAAATAACAACAAACTAGACCAGGAGTGTTTACAGTAAGAGGACCGCTTTAGTTCACTGGAAAACATGGACTGTATAGATAGATAGAATGTTGTACCAAACTCAAAATAAATCAGTATGATAAATATCTAAATACTGGAACACACCAAGTTTTATTGCCTTTTTTGTTTTTCTCCACCATCATCCCACACTGCTACGAGAGACAACACACATATGTTGTTGAATTTTATAAAAATGTTAATTTAAAACACAGTTTGCAAATTTGCGCTTTAGTTTTTTCTCATTACAAGTTATTTGCTAAAATGTACTTTCTGACTAGATAAATAGCATGAGAATACGATATAGGTACATAATATGGGTTCCTCTGACTGTCAGTCTGGCCCAATGTAAGAATGCAAGTTCATGATTACTAAAAAACACACTTTTAGTTTTCCATCAATACAAGCACGGGAATCACTTTCCATCCCAAAAAAAGGACATAGGTTTGTTCCATGAGTGAAAGATTCTGTAACAGTTTATGTCCTGGATCTTAAGAGATATTTCTAATTCTCCACACTGGAAGAAAATCCAACCCACAGTAGTTATACAATACAAGACCCAGTCTGAACAAAATAAAATGTAAATACAGATCTAAATGATTAGTTTTCAATAAAGAACAGAAAATAATTCAGTGGTTTGTCTGAGTCCGTGTAGTTTTCTTCATATGAATCCATATTGTTAGGGTTAGGGGACAGTGTGTAAATGCAGCATGACACACTCAAACATCAAAGAGGCATGTGGTGGTGCATCTCTCACCTATATACTGTATAAAGTCTTGCTAGTTTCCTCTAATGTGTCGGTGTACTAAACCAGAACATACGTGCTTTTGCCTTTGGAAGCGTCAGGAAACAATAAAACTCTTTTCACTTCCCTTGCAACACAAACAACCAGCGGTGGGTGGATGCTGCTGCTTGCACTACGTTTTAAGCCTAGCGTACATCGACAGAGAAACTGGGGACAACTAGTTGCAAGGCGGCTTTTGGCAACTGAGAGGAGATGGTGGGAGATGATCAGTTGCCGAAATCGGTCGCGCTCTTACAACTGGAGATGAACAGTCGGTCTCCAGTTTCAGTCAGTTGCCCGTGTTCTACATTTCGGCAACTAGTTGTCCTCAGTTTCGGAGATATGACCCGATGTGCGCGCTCCATGCGCCGCTCCGACAACGTGTGTGTATTGCGTGTATTGCGAGCCCGCAACAGTTTATGTCAGAAAACACACTGTAGTTGACGGACAGTTGCTGTCGATGTACGCGCTGTTATTCCCGAGACTGGTCTGCTACTGGGAGTTGCCCGTTTTCGTCAGATTGTCGATGTGTGCGGGGCAGCAACTCAAAGGCAACGGATATAATCAGTTGCCAGTCCGATGTACGCTAGGCTTTAGTGCACACTATGCCATGTTAGGCTTTTTACTCTACTCTCAACTCTACCTGGTTGTTACCGATACACTTTAGAATCAGGAGACTGGTACTGCATCCTAGCAACCTATCCACACAAAAAAAAAACAGTATCTCCCTATCAAGGTAGAGTAGAGTGGGGACAAGTAGGGTTGGTGGAAACGGGGCTATACAGAGAAAACTTGGAAACTCATTACAGTCAAAGTGAGATTTGTATCTTAATTGTAATAATGATGGTAATTAAATCAAAATTATAACGTGTCACTTTGCATGTAATGAGTCATATATTGTTTTCACAAAACAACAAGTTTTAAGTTTCCCATCTCTTCTTTAAAATAAACCTTATCCGGGTCCACCCCCACCAGCCCGGAGTGGTATTGCGAGCATGTCAGTGGCAACATGAAAAATGTCCTTAATGCTAACTACTGCACTAGCTACCCTATAACATCTGTAGCATGAAAATAAACACAGAACTTTATTCAAATTGATATCGGCCTCAGATAATCCATATGGGTCAATCCCTGAGACGAATGGGCAGTGCGGGTTTCAGGCATAGACTGTATAGATTGACAATGCTAACCTGCTTAAAGAACTTCTCACCCCTGCTCCTCGAGGCTTACGTCACTCACATTTAGCGTTAAAATCCTCCTCTAAATGGGCGTAGCCTGGAGGACTAAAGGGGACAGGCGGGGGGGGGTTGTGAATGTTGGGCGGGTCTAGGCAGTGATTGACACTTGACAATAAAAGCAATAGTGACTTAAACTACAATATTCAACAACAACGCTATTAACACTACACAATTATCAATAATACAAACAGCTATGCTAACAAAAACCTATCTAAATGCTAGAACTAATCGCAAACCTGACAATCGATGAAAATACTCTCTGCTATTCCTTCCTTCCTTCGCTACGGGGGCGTGAACGAGACTGGGCCGTTCACGCTCACTGGGCGACAGGGCAACTGACGTCAGCCTTCACTGCAGACGTCAGGTATCACGGCTCCGCCAGTGTTGGCGCCAGATTCAAATTTCAAATGCAGTAATACAGGTCGCCTGCAGATGGCGCCTCACTGAGGGTTTTAGGCAGAAACTTTCCACTAATTTGCACTAAAGTGACAAAATTATGACCAGGATATGTACACAACACTATCGGACCCTCATTTATACCGTTTATCAGAAAAAAATAAGTGAATTTGGTGAGTTGTCCTTTAAAGGCCAATAAGAAAGTGCTTGAAAGAAAGTAAGAAAGTCATTTTCCAACTCAGCAACCCTTTGTGTCACACTCATCCTTTTGGGCTTAACAATTACATAATTTAGTGCTATCTGTGTCTCTGTTTTTTTCTTTCTTTATTGCTTTTTGTGAATCCAGATACACCAGCTTGCCTTAGCAACCATTTTAGCAAAACACATCTGCCCTTGTTACGGCGCGATGCTAAACTCTTTGGAACAAACGCCCATATAAGGAAATTTGAACACAAGCTAGCGGGAGCCAATCAGCTTCTTCCGCATTCGACAAACACTAGGGTGAAGCACTCGGGTCAGTCCACTCCTTACAGACGGTCTATGGGTTCAGGATGGCTTGTAATGGGAATAGCCATGATGCTATTGGATTTATAACATTGTTGGCTGTAGAAATCGATCCAAGAAAGAAAATACTTGAGCCTCATGTGATCTGTGCAGACACCCTTAAAGGAATAAGGATGTGCGATCCCAACACAAGATATTGCAACACTAAATGATATGTTCTGGGCTATGATGATAGCCTTCAAATCAATAGCGCCCTTTGTTCCTTTATTAGCTTTTTAAAACATTTTCTAGTGTGCAACTATGAAATAACACAAAAAATCCAAACAATAATGCACTCCCAATGAGGCTCGGCTGTCAAGCTATGGCTGTCGGCCTATAGCTGCTGAAATACATGCATTCTGTGTTTGCGAACGACTAAACAATTCAGTGTGCATATTGAATGGAGAAAAGCTCTTAAAAAGAAGAAACTTGAAACTACTTCCCACTCGTAGATGCCTCCCAAATATAGAAAACAAGTCTGACTAGTTTGATCCCTGTGTGTATTTTCAAAGCCCAAAGTGAGTTTTAAGTTTGACTGGTGAGTCTGCAAAAGGAGGCTCTTCCCCTGCTTCGGTTTCTCTGGATCAGGCTGCTTTTGCACAATAGCCCTGTGACTGCAGCCAGAGCCAGCTGGCACTCTGCACGCAGCTCCAATGACATCACCGTCCAGCACTAATACTTCAATCCATTTGTAGGGTCCCGAAATAACCCCTCAATACAAAACTCTAAAAACAGATTGGTTAGACCAGTGGGGGCGGGTCCCGGGTCCCAGCTCAAAAGTGGCCAAAATGACGTGCGCTGACATGCTTGCAATACCACCCCGGGCCAATGGGGGTGGACCCAGAAGAAGAATTAGCCAATGATAACATATAGCATTGGCAGACCTCTCGAAAACATCTTTACAGTATGGACCAAAAGTTGGCTCTTGGCCCAAAGCTCCGTTCCACATGTGTGTCAATGCTGAGGGGGGGGAATTTTTTTGGTCCACTCTAGTTTACTCGCTGTGAGATTTTGAAGTCTCTCGTTCAAATGAATGGAGCTGCGCCGGCTGACGCATGCGCAGATGCGTTTTTCCACAATTTTCTTGTGGGCGGGACCACTCGCGGCCATTTTGGATAGCTCCAGTAGAGCAAATGTTTTGGCCCATTAGTTAGAACGGTGGAGATAGGCGTGACTCTGTCCGTTAATATACACAGTCTATGGGTTAGACCAACAAAACTTCAATTCATTTCAATTAAATTCATATTGCCCTAAATCACAACAGTAGAGGACTTTACAAAATTGTCAAATTCACCAACACAGATCAGAAAACCAGTGAACAGTGAACAAGAAATGCATTGATAAAAAACACATTGGTCCATAAGCAGCAGATGACCAGTATCCTGTATCATCATGAAACGGACAAATTAACCTAATCTAGTTATGTTAATTATGTGTCCAACTGATCCTTTGGTTATACAGCCAATCTCTAATGGTAATAATGAGAATGATAATAATATTAACTCTGCTTTTCAGGACACCCAAGGAAATTGCACATGGCATTATTCGTTCACCTCATAATACACTGGTGGTAATTAAGTACTAATGGGTTTTACCACCAGTGATCGGTCTGCCACAGCTGCCCTGGGTCTGACAGGATCATGCTTTTACCTGCAAGTGGGGCAATTGATTCGTCTTGTAATTATTCTCTTGTTCAAACAATTCATCTTAGCTTGAGGCATAAAAAGTTGTGTGTGTTTATGTGTGTGTGTGCGTGTGTGTATGACTGTGTGTTCATGTATCAATGCATGATTGTGTATATTTATTGGTTTTTTTCTGGTTTATGTTAACATGACCCGATCATTAACTGTATTGTAATATAGAAATAGTAATAAATAATCGTGTTTATTGATTTTAATAAAAATGATCACATAGACCAGTTATAAGAGTTCACCTCATAAATAAAACCAGGTCAGAATCATAAAAATGACTGAGCTGCAGGTTATGGCGGGACAGTGGACGTTCACCTGTCCCCTACGACCCTGAAGAGGAAAAGGAGGAAGAGGAAGAAGGGCATGATTCAGCGTTAGACAAGCTCATACTCAGAGCTGTGTGTGTGTGGACCTGCTGACTCCACAGGCCTAGAAAGACTTACATTGACATTACCACTGGGTAAATATTAACTTTTGAGAGCGTATAAATACTGTACATTACTCTGAGCGCATCATGTTTCAACAGAACACCTTCTTTTTCTAAGACTGCAAAATTAAAAATAAACTCATTGGAACTTGACGGACTTGTTCGATTTAGGTCACAACGTTACAAAGAGGCTGTAGTTAAACATTGCGGAGGAGTGCAGCTTGAAATTCTTTCCTGGTAACAACAGTATCTGTCATAATACAGATTCCTATAGCCGTAGTTTAACCTCTTAACATCCGCCTCATTTTGGCTCGTGCACAATGGTTGGGCATACCCAAATGTCTTTGCTTATTTAAAAACACATCTTACATCTCACATGCTTGTGTGATGCATCATTTTAAAGCTAGAGCCTTCTAGTTTATGTAAAAAAACACTAAAATAATGTTTGTCATTCCTATTTCCTCTGCATCCTTTGAAGTTAGGGAAAAAAACCCAATTTTTTTAGCCTAACATTTTCAATTTCTAAAGGCCCTAAAAAAGACATACTTCATTGTAAGTTCACAATATTCAAACCCTCTGTTCATTGTGTTGTTGACAACAACTGTCTAAAGTTTCAGACTTCTAAGTTTTATGGTTTTTATGCAGTTTCTCCTTTTCATCAAGTTGTGCACATTTGGCACAAGTGTGCCAAATTGTGCCAAATATCTTTACTTACATTTAATCATCATAAAAACAATATTTTTTATTATTGGTACTTATAAGTTACTAATCTATGTGTGTTTTTCTTTTTTAAATGTCAAAGTTATTTTTTTATGAGTGTAAATTCATTGCAGCTTTGAGAGCGTCTTTTGGCCGCCAATACGCACAATTCTACAGGCACAACATAAGACAGGACACCATTGTCCCACCCCTTGTTCGAAAGCTTTCCTCATTGGCTACAAGGACATGTCAATCGTAAATCCCGGAAGTAAAAGCAAACAAGTTGGGATCACAACAAAGATCAGTGATCCATGCGCAAACAGCAGCGCAAGCTGTACTTACGGGAGCTCTTGCAGACCCAAAAATTGGTCTAGCTTTTCGGGAGTAGTCTCATTTGAAAGATAACGTGGATACCAGATGTTTGGGTGAAAAACAAAGCCAAAAGTCCGTTAAAAGTGAAAGAGTAACATCTGTGCTCTTTTTTTTCGTTTTTTTCGCAAAAGATAAATGCACATTTTTGGATTATTTCTGCAGAATGGATTTTACTTTGGGAAATGTGGGAAAGTGGATATAATTTTCCTTTGGACTGTGCCAGAGAGAATGATGTATTGCAAGCTGGGAGGAGAGCTGATTTATTTGTACAGCACAAGCCCACATTATGTGTTATATCTTTTGAATGCAAAGTCTGATGTAGTTTACAATATAAAGATGGAAATATATAAATGTGGATAAGAAAATAAGCTTTAAAATGATATACAGCTTTTGGGGTTTGGTGTTCAAAATACATCATCATAATCCAGATTCCTATAGCCGTAGTTTCATTTCTCTGTAATTCCCCGGACCAATCTGCAAGAAACAAAAACTGCCAAAAAGCATATGCAGGATGTTGGCGAGTAGAAAGGACTTTCACACATCAGAAAAACATGTCAGCTTTTTCTGTCTAATCTAATACCAAATAATGATCTGGGAAAACATTTGGACATTCTCCTTCTTTCAAAAATTGCTTCTTCCCCATAGAGTTGCATTGACGCCTGTCCTCCAACTGAAATAGACTTCAAAAACATAAAATGGAGGGAAAAAAACGTGTTGCTAAATGACTAAAATTAGACATTATGGTATTGCTACAATGGTCAGGGTTTAAAATGTTGTTAACGCCATGCAACAATCTTGATCTAAAACGGATAAGTCCTAGAAACAGGTATTCTAAAGCCTACAATACAAACATCTAAATTAAATAAAATGAATTGTTGTACAGTAACATGCATGTAAATTTGACATAGAGTTCTCCGTTTGCTTAGGTTGTATATCTTAAGAAAATTCTACTTTATTCACAGATTTGATTGTAAATTCAGATTATCCGCTCAGTCCAGTGTGTCACTTTTCCGTTAATATAATAGATCCATGCACTTTTCCAGGTGAAAGGCTCCTGCACAGCTGAGTGATCACGTGACACAAGCGTCTGTGTCCAAGCTCCATGTTTAGAACAGTTTTTTTTTTTTTTAGAAAAGTGACTGACTCGTATGCACCACTACATAAACAAAGTACTGACCAGCCAGCCCGCCGCCGCCATCCCCGTGGCCCTTGCGCTTCTGCAGGATGAAGTACGGGTTGGCTCTCTCCGTGATCCACAGGGCGCCCGCCAGTAACACCTCTTCGGGGCTGACCCACATCGTGCTGCTGTTTTCAGGCGCTCATGGACCACACGAGGCACGGATGGTGATAGATATGGCCGGACTATGATGCACCCTGTCCGCAAAAGCAGCCCCACACCGTGCACGCCACACTTGTTATTCTCTGTAATCCAGTCCCGTGGATCCGCCCTCTCTCCTCCTCTCCAGCCTGTGCTTTGTTTCCCCTCTCACTCTGGAGCAGGTGCCGCTCACAGAGCAGTGCAGCACGGGGACCAAACGCACAGACCCAGGCTTTAGAAGAGTCCGCTCGTCCACAGGATCAGCTGTGTCCTGCTGCTTACTGCACAAAGGCGATAGTAGAGAGGCGAACGCACACGGCCGCGGTCCTCTCCTCCTCCACACACTGTGCGCGCTGCGTCACCGCCGCGTCAGAGGTGGAGGCTCGAGAAGAGCAGCAATGCGGAGGCTAATTAAGGATCTATTATAATGAGTATAATTTAATCAACATGGTTATGCTGTCATGATTGACTACTCAATTCCTTTTTGCCTTTTGTTCACGAGAAAGTGAATGTTTATCAGCCGACAAAAATCTTTAACGTGTTGGTCATATGCCTTAATAAACTTACAATCTTGGCATCACACTAAAGCGGTGGGGCTGTGTACTCTTTGATAATAGGTTCATGTGACATCCGAACATTCCAAAGAGACTGTGGTGGAGGGCAGCTGAAAAATAATTCCTGGCAGTGGCAACTATGGCAACTGTCAAAAGTCAAACTTTTCTGGAGTAATTAACATGAAACAAATATGGTTTTATATCTTCTTTGTCAACACAAGTCAATTATGGACTAATTATTTTCTCTCAAAGGTGTCTAGAAGTGGTGACAATATTCCAAACACAACAGTGGGGAAGTTTCAGTGTTGCACCACAAGTCACAGAACAGTAGGACTGAGGAGCACACAGCACAAGTTAAGCAAACAATAGCTGCACTAATTAGAATAAAACAAAATCTCTAACTCCAGCATCAAAAGACACAAGTATAAAATCTCTATCTTGAACATATGAATATACTGTAGTGTAAAGTTTAACAACAGCCAAATGCCATATGTGTTTGAATCTGTATATGTTAGCAGCAGTATGTTTACATCTGTACATTAGCAGCAGTATTTACATCTGTACATTAGCAGCAGTATGTTTACATCTGTACATTAGCAGCAGTATTTACATCTGTACATTAGCAGCAGTATGTTTACATCTGTACATTATCAGCAGTATGTTTACATCTGTACATTAGCAGCAGTATGTTTACATCTGTACATTAGCAGCAGTATGTTTACATCTGTACATTAGCAGCAGTATGTTTACATCTGTACATTAGCAGCAGTATGTTTACATCTGTACATTAGCGGCAGTATGTTTACATCTGTACATTAGCAGCAGTATGTTTACATCTGTACATTAGCAGCAGTATGTTTACATCTGTACATTAGCAGCAGTATGTTTACATCTGTACATTAGCGGCAGTATGTTTACATCTGTACATTAGCAGCAGTATGTTTACATCTGTACATTAGCAGCAGTATGTTTACATCTGTACATTAGCAGCAGTATGTTTACATCTGTACATTATCAGCAGTATGTTTACAAATGTACATTAGCAGCAGTATGTTTACATCTGTACATTATCAGCAGTATGTTTACATCTGTACATTAGCAGCAGTATGTTTACATCTGTACATTATCAGCAGTATGTTTACAAATGTACATTAGCGGCATGAGGCTCTGGGACACAGGGACTCAGTAAAGTGACAGTGACATGTGGTTATTGCACATTCTGATATTGCACCAACGCATGACACATGAGATCAGGTTGGCAATGTTCTTTAGTCCTCATTGTTTGTTGTACAGTCTGACAGCAGCAGGAAGGACACACACCACAGACTGGCTGAAATTGGTTGGGTTCCTGCCAGAGGCCATGATACAGTCACATCCAAATACAATGAGGAATGCCAGTCGGATGGGAAGGATTATGAGTTAAATGAAAATATCCTTTATTAGTCCCACAGTGGGGAGATTTCAGAGTTTTAGAGAGCTGATAATTAAAAAGCCTGTAAAATGGTCCCAATATACTGTATTGTCGTTATCTATCTCAGCAGCTTATATTTGTGTTTGTTTTGCTCACAACAGGAACAGGACGAGGGGGATGTTCAGTCTGACTCATTATGATATCAAGACTTTCCCCTTTGTGTTTGGGCGAAACCAGAAACCAAAAACACCTCCACATTGAACCTTTTTGTGACTGTATGACATTTGGGACTGCTCCGTGTGGGTTCAGTGACCTTTGAATATTGCCACACCATATATACAGTACATGTTTAACCTACATATTTTGTTGTAAGGATTCACCAGGTTGAGTTGATGAGTTTAAGCCTTTAAGATTAAGATGGTTCTTATCTGTCATGTAGATGTCCCAGCATGCTGTTCCCTGTCCCACCTCACATCCCCATTTCACATGTAGTTTTCAGTTCCCTTTTCAAATTAAAAAAGAAGCTTGACAATAATAGTTCCTTTTCTGGTGGACTGGATCCCATGACTTTTTCATCTGTGCAGTTCCCGAGACGGATCTGATACTCTGTTGATTGTAATACTTTTATAATATGTTTGAATAATGCTGTACAATTATATCATACTGAAGTTAATTGCAAATGTATTTAAATAACACCACATATAATGACCCTACATAAAAACAAGCCCAATTATTATCATCATCTTATTTCTACAATTGTATTATTCATTATGACTGAACAGCTGCAGTCAGTTCATTGCTTTTCACACGCTGTCCCATTCTGTTTCATGGTGGGTTAACGGGACCCTTGGACCTGGCTCTATCTGCACCTGTGCTCTACTCGCCTGGGGGTCTTCATTCCTGCATCGCACAGCCTCAGACCTCGTTGTACAGCCTGAGTCGACTCGTGGATAAACAGCCTGTCCACCCATCGGAGTAGATCCCTCTCAATATGGGCCTTCCTCAGGTTTCTAACATCTTTCCCACTGTTTTTTAGTGTTTTGTTGTTTACTTGTCAGGAGAGTGATGATCCTGGAGATTTAATGACCTTAATTAGTAATCTAGTAATCTTTATTTTTATAGCGCCTTTCACAGACCAGAGTCATAAAGTGCTTTCACTATTCTGGGCATTTGTCTCTCACTCCACACAGAGATGGGAGCGGAGTCGCCAGTACAGGAGGCGCATGCCAGAGCTATTGCACATGTTTTTAGCGGTCGGGGAAACCGGAGTACCCGCAGGAAACCTACCCAGACAAAGGGAGAACAAACTCCACTCAGAAAGGCCCTGCTTAATGGACATCTGTTAAGTATTACCTATTATGACACTTATTTTAGTTTAGGGAAAGACATTATTCCGTTGTAGAAACTGCCAGAGAATACATCAATAAACAAGTAGATCTTAACATGAATCTGAAGTTATCTGAACTTGAATGGCTAACCACCTCATATACAAAATCACCAGTAATCTTAAAATGCAAGGAGTATACAGTACATATATATGGATTTAAATGTAAGGAGAAAAGGTAAATGTTGTCAGAAAAGTAAGTAGTCAAGTACTTACTGTATGTCAAAATAAAATACTTTAGTTAGGTATCTGCAGTATTTACCTTTGTAATAAAATCCATGTAACTAGTTTATTCCTCTCAAAACAGTTCTATTGCTAGTTTGAACTTTTTTTTGTGTCTTTGTCAAATTTTTAGATCAGCGTATTTAGTCAAAAGAAGAGGACCAGCCTCACTCGGCCAATCAGCTCTCAGTATATGAAAGAATTAGATAAAGAAAGCTTGTTGTGGTCTGGGTTAGCATATTGTTACTTTGCACCTCAGTAACTAAGACCACTCTCCTGCCCTCTGCTGGTCATTCCCCCTCACTTCACCAATGTTAGAAATTTCCACCACTTTTTATTGTTTCACTGTGAAGTAACTGACATCCACTTTAAAATTACCATAGCACACATGGTCAGGGATTTCGATTTCATATTTCTGTGTATATTTGCATGTTCTCCAAATGTCTGCGTAGGTTTCCTCCAGGTGCTTCGGTTTCCCCTGCACCTAAAACATTTACAATAAGAATGAATGTAGTGAGTGAGCGAATGGATTGTGATGAAATGTTGTTCTTGGATGGGGATCAACAAAATGTTCCATGTAATGTAATGTAATGTATATAAAAGATTTCTTACTTACATAACTGCATGAATTTAGAAATGTGTTCTAATACAGAAATGAAGACAAAATGCATTGATCAAAGTTGGAAAATACGCTTTATGAGTAACAAACACGTGCAGACACGGCTCATACAGTTATGCGATACAAAAGAGCAAAGCTGTTACTGCCTAAGGCCAGAATACAGTGTACAATTACATCCTTCTATTTCTGTACATTGATATTCAGAGCCCTCCAGCGCCTCCATCACATCAGGGTAAAGTGCAAGACAAGAGTTTTTTACAGATACATATAAACAACATTTTTACAAAATCCTTGGAAAGTAACGCGAACAAGTTTTACATAGGGACATTGTGCAAACACTACAAGAATATTCCTGTAAGAATTTGGTATTTGCAGCAAAATTACAATATTGTGCAAAATGTAGGCTACATTCATTGAACTGGTTACTAGTGTCTCGTTTGAACAGTCAAGAGGAAAACAACCCATCGTTTGAAATGAAGAGCTGGGTAAACACATTGGACAGTGTTGGCAGCTATGTATGCGGGGGTATATTTTGTGCTGTGAAGATTTCTCTATAAAATTGCTGATGATTTGAGTTTTTTTAGAAAAAATGATACAACATGTACACGTAAATACAAAATGGCTTGAATTAGGTTAAAATGGTCGGGATGTCACTCGATTTTGTCTATTTTTATAGAATACCCTTCATCAGAACCAGATCTGGACTTGATTTTAGAATAATCCACGCTATTTAGAACTTCTGGTACAAACATGGAGCTCCGCCCCTTCTTTCTAAAAGCTCCTGTGTCAGTTCTGTTATAGTATGATGTCATTGTATCACTATGACATTATACTCAAAGCAGTTTTCTGTCTCTTAAAACAAAAGTAGTGCCCCTAAATTTAGTTAGGCAATCTCTATTTTCAATCACAAGGCTGTGGTTGCAGCCGGTTATTTGCCATATTTTTATTTATTTTTTAATAACTAAAAAACACTGCTCCCTCTAGTGGTGACATAGGGAAAGAGCAGAATGATAGCATTGTTTATCCTTGAGGCCCTTGAAAGAGACTGTAGAGCAGCAGATGTAGCTTTTTCTCTCCTCCTTTCAACATTCTGGTTTTCAAATGATCAGGTTTCAGAGCTGGCGATTTAAATTAATCTCTAAAATTAGGTATAAACATAAACGTATATATCTGATATCAGTGAATGATTAAAGCATTATAATTTTCCAGTTGTGACAGGCAACAAGCAGAAAACCCTATCAGAAAAGTTGTGGAATAAAACGTTTTGTATCATTATTTTATAGTTGTGTGTAGTAGTGTTTGTTTTTGCTTTCAATAGTTCCAGTGAAAACTAGATTTTTCACATTTTGGTAAAACATGGTAATGTGAACTATGGATTGTAAAAACATATACAAAGAACTTTTACTGTTTGCAGCAAAGAATGGGTTTCAGTAGGGCTCTTTTCCAAATGGGTGTGTGTGTGCGTATGCAGTATGCTGGCTGACTGTAGTCCCAGGTGCCCTCGTGAGCTCATGGAAAGAGTGAGTGGCACCAGATAGCACCTCTGGCTCTGCTCTAGCTGCTGTGCTTCTTCTGCTCTGTGCAACGCTGCAGGAATGTGACGGACCAGACCCCCGACCACAGACAACCAAACACGGGGCTTGTTTACAAAGGGCAACAGTAATGCCGTGTTCAAAAGTGTGCTCATGAGAAAACATAGCCAGGCAGAACTCATGATTTGTTGGTCATACTTTGGAGATTATAAATGATAACAGATTTGTTCCAACACATGGTTAGAGGACGCAACGCTTTAGCAGCCGTATGCAATAAACAAAAACCAAAATCTCAAAATCTCTTCCAGGGCCTGAAAGATATATCTGAACTGTTTTCATGACTGAATGGAAATGGTCTGTTAATAATAATGACACAAATATGTGTTCCCAATCGCCATGAAGTAATCCAATGGCAAAATATTATGTTTTAGAAAACCTGGAGTTTGGATTTTGTATGGGCAAAAGTAATCTCTTTAATGTAAGAGCTTTTTTAATCAAATGCACGACATTTGTGTGTAATAAATGCTTGTGTTATCATTGACAATCTCTGAAAGGCATACATTCTCTAAGGGCATGAAAACATATGAACACAACTGTAAAACACTTTTGAAGATTTCATTATTGATCAGACATAAAACGTTCATCTTGTATTTCCATGTTTTATGCAAGCATTGTTTTGGCAAATTTGATGAAGTCTGTTTTAGATTCTAAACTTGCATGGGGGGGTAAATCTATGCATAGTGTTTGTCTCGTCTCTAAAAAAGAACTCCAATTGAGGCTGGCATGCTGTCATTAGGTCCACTTCCATACAGACGGCATGCTCCTATATGACGATGGCAACAAGACGAGTATATAGTCACTTCTCGTGGTCTGTGTAAATAGAATATGCATGCTCTCGAGCCACAAATTCCGCTCATGACCATTGGGTGGCAGTGATGCCTCAGAGCAAGAGGATATCAGATGCTTAAACTTGGATCCAACCTGAAACATTGTAAACATAGTTCTCACATAAAAATGAAATAAAAAAATACAACACTCTTTTCCGAGATTCCCTTAAAGCATCACCTTTGAATCGTAGGTGCCGCTGTTGTGCTATGAACTCTGACCAGACCTATATTTAAACAACCTGTTGTACACTACGATTTCGACTGTCCCGGCTTCATAATAATTGGGGTTCACGCACACGGTTCGGGGAAGCCTCGAGACCGTTTCTACAAGAGCAGCTTCGAAAGGGCAGTGGGCGACATCACTTGAAATCTGATTGTCAACAATGAGGGTGAGGGAGTTCACAAACACACTTGGGAGATATTGTTGAAATGTCTTTTGCGAAGAGAACTGTTTTTTCGGAACCCGGAATGATCAGAACTTCCTGTGTCAAGATTAGGCTGGTGGAAAGGAAAGACTTGAAAAGGGGGATGGGTGCCACAGAGCTGCGTGTTTTGAGTTGCCAACAGGAAATCCATGGGCTCCCTGCTGCAGTCTGTGGAGACGCAGGCTTCCTTGGTGAAGTCTTTAGCAGCTCACACACATTTTGGCTGGTTAATTTAGGCTTTGGCCCCTCCGCCCTCCCGCTCTGAGAGATCCACATCAGTCATGTCCACTCCCACCACCAGGGACGAGTCCGAGTCACTGCTCAGGGCTGGCAGCTGCTCACCTGAGAAAGAAAAAGAAAACAAACGTGATTATTAACTGGACAAGCATCTACATTCATCGTACAGTTTTTATTTATCGTGTAGAGTTTTTATTTTGATTCACACACAAATAACTTAAAACTATGAAGGAAAAAAATGATGCTGGATTTGTTTTGTTATTAAGTGAAAGTTGGGCGTGCACCCCCAAAAGGAATTTTTCTAAGTTCATTAAATTGACTGTGTGTAACCTACTGTCAATGTTATTACAGCTGCATAGTTTTTAATATATTTTTTACATTCACATTTTCAGATGCAAATACAGTGGATTGTATGCCAAAGTTCTAGATCTGTGCGAAGAAGCGGATCCCTGTTTCCATGTGGGCCTCCCCGTGGTTTCTCACTTTTTCCCCCACTGCGTTTTTCAAGTTGTTCCTTACTGATGTAGGAGGGTCAAAGAGCAGTGACCAATCCGATGATCCAGGACATTTAAGGACATGTATTCACATTTAAGGACGTTGGTCATTGTCCCCTTATGGACCAATGGCTCCTATGTGTTTGCTATTATTGCACTGTGTTTGAACCGTTTGATTCTCTGATCTGTTGTTGGCAAATTGACAACTTTGTATAGTCCACCAAGATGACAACTGTTGTGATTTAGGGCTATACACACACAAGTTGAAAGAAATTAATTGAAAGTACAGTATACATTCTCAAGATCATATTAAAGAGCACAAATTAAAACAAATGATGATAACTTTTTTTGAGTTGGTGTGTATTGCAGTTCTCCCTGCCATGCCATTAATTTTAAAGACCTGCGTTATTAGCTTGTGTGACTTTGAACTCCACGTATCTGCAGCAACCAGGAGCTATACTTCTGACATTTAGAAAAAATTTAAATCAGAGGAGATCTATGGAATGTGTCGCACTAATGAGCAAACAGAGAGGTTTGACACTGACAGAAGCTTCTGTGTGAGCCGGGTGCAGCCAGGCCAACATTGTGTATGTCTTTAGTCTGAGTAATGAGCTGCTGTGAGAACACTATTGGAGACATCATTCTTCCTGACCACAGACAGACCAAAAGAGAAGGCGTTTTATTTTCCATTCAAGGGATGGGTGTGTGTTGTGGTAAACAAAACACTGACACCTTTGTAGTGGAGGTAATTGCACCCATTTCCATTCCTTTCTTTTCTCCCAAACACACCGCTTTCGAATAGTATATTATTATTAATCTTTGTTTCAGACTCAATATAAAATTGGTCCATACAAAAAAAGAAAAGAAAAGAGAATACCAAAAAAAGGACAATGCATTCAGATGGTAGAGTGTCCAGTGCTTTCTCAGAACAGACGTGTGGCGAAATGAGCTCATTTTACCGTTGATCAGAATCTGAATGATGCTGTTCTCGGACTCTTCCAGACGTTCCTTGAATCGAAAGGTTAGATTCCGTATCAGAGGCTCCCAGGTATGAATGTGAGCGCTCACAAGCAGTTCACTGGCACTGTGCCACCTGGGCACCCGGAGCAGCAGCCTGAAGGCATCATTGTATGCAACTGTGAGTCTGTGGAAGGACCTGCGACTGTACTTGGTCCACAGAGGAGCTGTGTACAGCGGAGTGCAGTACACTCGAAACAGAGCACATTTAACAGGATATGAACAAATGCTGAACCTCCTCATCAGCGTGTTCGCCTGGGCGTAAAGTTTACAGCCTTAAATGTCTTTTAATGTCTCTGTCATCACGCCAGTCTGTGATAAAGTGTCCCAGATACTTTGTCTCTTTGGAGACAGCAAGAGGTTGACTGCAGAGCTGAAAGTCAGGGAAGGTCAAATATTCTCTGCTTCTCACAATCATCATGTTGCTCTTAATTGGACTGTACTTTATGTCAAATGTTGCACCATACGCTGAGCATACTAGCAGTCCAGACATGCCTGCACTGTATGGGCTTATGATAACAAGATCGTCTGCATACATAAGATGGTTGATTTTTGTGCGGATCACTGTCCGTATCTTGGGATATAGCTTCAGGTACAGTGCCTTGCGAAAGTATTCGGCCCCCTTGAACCTTTCAACATTTTGCCACATTTCAAGCTTCAAACATAAAGATATAAAATTTAAATTTTTTGTCATGAATCAGCAACAAGTGGGACACAATCGTAAAGTGGAACAAAATGTATTGGATAATTTAAACTTTTTTAACAAATAAAAAACTGAAAAGTGGGGCGTGCAATATTATTCGGCCCCTTTACTTTCAGTGCAGTAAACTCAGTCCAGAAGTTCAGTGAGGATCTTTGAATGATCCAATGTTGTCCTAAATGACTGATGATGATAAATAGAATGCACCTGTGTGTAATCAAGTCTCCGTATAAATGCACCTGCTCTTTGATAGTCTCAGGGTTCTGTTTAAAGCGCAGAGAGAACCATGAAGACAAAGGAACACACCAGGCAGGTCCGAGATACTGTTGTGGAGAAGTTTAAAGCCGGATTTGGATACAAAAAGATTTCCCAAGCTTTAAACATCTCAAGGAGCACTGTGCAAGCAATTGAAATGGAAGGAGTATCAGACCACTGCAAATCTACCAAGACCCGGCCGTCCCTCCAAACTTTCATCTCAAACAAGGAGAAGACTGATCAGAGATGCAGCCAAGAGGCCCATGATCACTCTGGATGAACTGCAGATAACTACAGCTGAGGTGGGAGAGTCTGTCCATAGGACAACAATCAGTCGTGCACTGCACAAATCTGGCCTTTATGGAAGAGTGGCAAGAAGAAAGCCATTTCTCAAAGATATCCATAAAAAGTCTCGTTTAAAGTTTGCCGCAAGCCACCTGGGAGACACACCAAACATGTGGAAGAAGGTGCTCTGGTCAGATGAAACCAAAATCTAACTTTTTGGCCACAATGCAAAACTATATGTTTGGCGTAAAAGCAACACAGCTCATTACACTGAACACACCATCCCCACTGTCAAACATGGTGGTGGCAGCATCATGCTTTGGATCTGCTTTTCTTCAGCAGGGACAGGGAAGATGGCTAAAATTGATGGGAAGATGGATGGAGCCAAATACAAGACCATTCTGGAAGAAAACCTGTTGGAGTCTGCAAAAGACCTGAGACTGGGACGGAGATTTATCTTTCAACAGGACAATGATCCAAAACATAAAGCCAAATCTACAATGGAATGGTTCACAAATAGACGTATCCAGGTGTTAGAATGGCCAAGTCAAAGTCCAGACCTGAATCCAATCGAGAATCTGTGGAAAGAGCTGAAGACTGCTGTTCACAAACGCTCTCCATCCAACCTCACTGAGCTCGAGCTGTTTTTCAAGGAAGAATGGGCAAGAATTCCAGTCTCTCGATGTGCAAAACTGAGAGACATACCCCAAGTGACTTGCAGCTGTAATTGCAGCAAAAGGTGGCGCTACAAAGTATTAGCGCAAGGGGGCCGAATAATATTGCACACCCCACTTTTCAGTTTTTTATTTGTTAAAAAAGTTTAAATTATCCAATAAATTTCGTTCCACTTCATGATTGTGTCCCACTTGTTGTTGATTCTTGACAAAAAAATATTTTTTTATATCTTTATGTTTGAAGCCTGAAATGTGGCGATATGTTGAAAGGTTCAAGGGGGCCGAATACTTTTGCAAGGCACTGTACGTGATCAGAGGTGGCAAGCCTGTACATAATGTCAATGTTGCTCAGAGAAGCATGTGCATCTGCTGCACAGACTGAGTGATCCAGCCACGAAGTAGAGTGCCAGGCATCACTGATATAAGTATAACTGGTATCTGGCAAAAGCAGTTCACTTGATAAAAATCTGATTATTGTCATTACAAAACTGCACTAAAAGTTTTCTGAAAGTAGATGATTTAACAAATAACAAATAATAATAATAATAACAAACACACACGCTGTGCAGTTATCTTCAATAAAGGACTCTATGAATTCCAGTTTGTCTACAAACTCATCTTCCATTTTGTGTGACTCATATGGCATATATTAATTTAACACAGTGCATTTCTTATCATTGAAGTTTATTTCAATGCTAATGGCCCAATCAACATAGAGCCATAAAACCTTGACAGCAGTGTCAACCTTGTTATGTAGTTTTTAAACTCAATGTTACACTCAGAAAATGATGTATTTTTGATGTATTTTTTTAAAAGACAATTTTCAAAACACTTCTTCTTTCCCCTATGACTCAATCGTTCACTCTATTAAGCAAACATAACACACATATCAATCACTGCTGTGGCCATTTGTATGTTAGATGAACTTTATCTACGACTATGCCCATAACATCAGCTTAAAACATGTCCGAGCCTAGCATGGTCCTCCATCTCTTGTTAAAGAGACTTGCTAATGAATTCCAATGTGGTTTTACTGCAAATGGAAAATAAACTGAATCTGAAAGGACAACTCCCCCTCAAATCAACTTTGTTTTGCTGATAAACGGTATAAATGAGTGTCCAATAGAGTTGTGTACATATCCAGGTCATAATTTTGTCACTTTGGTGCAAATTAGTTGAAAGATCAACTTTCTGCCTAAAACCGTCAGTGAGGCGCCATCTGCTGGCGATCTGTACATTTTAATTTAGAATCTGGCGCCAACACTGGCGCAGCAGTTGTAGATGACGTCTGAGGTTGTACCCGACGTCAGGGCTGGGGGCCGCCGTCTGCCTCCTCTCTCTCAAGAGAAGAGAGAGGCTCCATTCTGTGCGGTCCTCCACCTCCTAAGACCGCACAGAATCTATAGAGCTGGTGTCTCTGATCACTCTCCATCTCTGTCACAGCCAATGTTGATGTCTTGTGTCACTCACAGTCTAGACGCGCCCGACATTCACCCCCCCGCCTGTCCCCTTAGTCCTCCAGGCTACGCCCATTTGGAGAGAGATTTGAAAAGAAAATGTGAGTGACGTAAGCTCAGAGAAGCGGGGGTGAGAACCTCTTTAAGCATTCCACAGGATGGCAACACCTCCAGGTATTCTACCCCGGACTATTCTAGTGCTGAGTCTCAAATACAAGACGACTTGCCTTGTCGGCGATACTGTTGCCGAGGCGCAGGCCACTCGCATTGCATGACGTAAACCGAATGTTTGCGATATTAAATAGTATTGTCTATTCCTCGCTGTCTTCATTGCCAGTCACAGCTTGGGCAGCAGAAGCGCTAGCGTGGCTAGGATCAAAGCTACTTGTAGCTGTAGTTGCTTGTCTCCTCTGTGGTTCATAAAAGTCTCCATCACAAACACAACTGGAATCTTCGGTACGCAGACTCAATTTTGCGGCATTTAACATCCTGACTATTATAAATATTATATTCCTTTAGCATCTCAGCCTCCAAACATGGATCAAACTTTGTTGCAAAAACAAAGCGCCAGTTCCAACTATGCCAGGGGTTTTGCACCCGCAAATCCTAGTATATTGTCCCCACATTTGTTATTATTTTCATGCACAATTTCGCATTATTGATGTCCTCAAGTGCCCCTTTGTGCAAAACGCAGAGTTACGAGGAAGGCATTACCAGCCAAACAACGCGTCTCATCCGCCGCCACCTTGCTTATCCCTTGACTAAGGTATGCAGGTGAAACTCCGAATATTGTACAAAAGTATATTTACTTCAACTTAGAATGTTAACCGAATATGATATAGAATCATTACATGCAAAGTGGCATATCTTTTGTAACTCTGATTATTATGATCTTTTTAAATATAAAAACTGAGAGCCAACTTCTTCAAAGTTCAAAGTTATCTTTATTGTCCCACTAAGGGAAAATTGATTTCGCAGCAAGCGATCATCTAAAAACGCACGCGTAGTAAAATGTGCTGTTAAGTGCAATAGTCTGTATAAAGTGCTTCACAGTTGTTGAGATAAATGTAGCTCCTTTTTTGTCCTGCACCCAGGGACCTCAGCGTTGTCCTAAGGGTAAAAGTTTTATTTTTCCAAAAAAATTCAACCTTTTTGGGGTTGTTTGTCAGAGGGAAAACATGCCATCTTGTGTATGCTAGTAAGAAAGGGCCTATTTGACACATTGGGCTTAAGTGAGGGTGGTTTTTTTCCATTTTCAGTCCAATAAGACACGACAAAGACAAAACTATACAAGCATTTGCATAATAACTGATTTGATAGATGGATTTTACTACATAGTTCTATATTTAAGGGTTTGAAAGTTAGGTGTTCATGTAGCTGCCCGTGCGTCAAAAGGAGACAAGGACAGGCCACTGAAACACAAGATTTTGGCACAACTATTTCACGTTTTCTTTCCTTGGGCTCCTCTTACGATCTCCGATGGTAACCGGACCAGAGCTACAGAACTGGAGCAGACACAATACCAGAGCACAATCAAATCAACACGTTCAGTCAGATTTGGTGATTTCTAAAAGTTTACCTTCTCTGATCAAGCAATAGTTTGAATTATTATTCAATTCAGTATTAATAAAACAGCAATAAAACAGAACTTCTCATCACCGGACCCAAATCTCTCCTCTGCTCCACACTGATATCCCTGTACAGTGAAGTGTTGGCATCATCGTGGACCCCACCCCATCATAAAATTTACACCATATCTCAAAAATGTATTTTTTCCACGTTTGTAACATTGACAGTCTTTGCCGCTCCTCTTCACAATCCACAGAAATTCAGAAATCCAGACTTGACTACAGCCTCTTCTATGCTCTCCCATAGCTAAGCCTGCTGTTGACGTTCATGTAACTATTTTGCTGATTTACCCAGACCTTAATAACTGAGGATTATAACATTACAGTAACCATAATAGTATGGTATGAAGTAGCATAGTTTAGCAAAAGCCTTTTAACCCATCTCCAGTTCTACCATTTGTTCAAGTTGTATTGGCTACTGTACTTTATGCTAAACTTCACTCCTGGTATTTCCTTTTTTGTCTAAATTGATCAGTTGCATATGTTGTCATTAAAACCCAACTCACACCCACTCCAGAGACAACATCACCCCCATTTTTAAGTAACTCCACTGGCTCTCTGTTCCATACCACATCCAACGCAAATTCTGGATGTGGTATGGAACACATCCAGAATTTGCCCCATTATATCTCACAACCATTGGGACTGCCCCGCCCGCGGCTCTGCCTGCTCCAACCTCCTCAGCCCCTCCAGGACAAAGTGAATCGAGCCTTTGTTGCAGCTGCCCCGACTCTCCGGAACTCACTCACGACCCATCAGAAACTCGGACCCATTTAAGCACTGTTGCAAACTCTTCATGGATAATTTAGGGCCTAGCTCCCTTCTAAATGTATATTATTTAAACAAGAAAATTAATGTAAACAAATTTCAGAGCTGCGAATTGTGAAGTCAGAACGTCAACTAAGGATGTACTGTAATAAAATCAATGTTACTCGTTCTTAGCTCTCAAGTCTCTCACTCAAAGTGAAAAGTAGCTAGCCGCTTCTTCTTGGATCTGAAATGACGCTGTCTGTTAAGTAGGCAACACATTTCTGTGTTTTTCTTTTTACGGATTTTGTAAGGCATACTGAGGGTCCAAAGAGCACTATATACAAGTTTGATGCATTTAGTATCATTTTTAGTATCATTTTGTGAAATTTCAAATCCAGCCAGCGTGAAATGTTTGCGTGATTTCTTTGTGAACTTTGCAATTAGCCGAGTCCATATTAGAACACGGGCATTGCCTTTTATGACGATGTTTAGCCGAGCGGACATAGGGCACACATGGAGTCAGTAAAAGCTCTAAGTGCCTATAGGACACATGGGCTGTAAAAGTGGCAAATGCAGGTTTACTTCGAAAAGGGCCACAGGACGCTTCAGTCGTGGTTAGATGAGCAAGACATTCTTTCCACTCAAGCATTGGGGGCAGAACAGTCCAAAACCAGAAACAGATTTCAATTTGCTCCACGAATAAAAGCCAAAATTCCTCAAATTGTTCAACAGTTGTAACATTAGACACTCAAGAACTGAGCCTAGTGAGTCTGCAATTGGCAATGGAACATTTAAAAAACAAAAGGTTTATGATATGCTCATCATAGCCGACTGCGCAAAGACTTCTTTCATTTCAAACTGTAGATCAGGGGTCTTTGGTTGTGACAAATCAGACCACGCTCTGATATGTATCTTATTTGATCTTACACATAGTCTTTTTCCTATGTCAGAATCAGAATCAGAATCAGAATCATTTTTATTGCCACGTAAGTAACAGGAGGTCACAGACTAGGAAATTGCTTTGGCTCAGTGCAACAGTCAAAAAGAGATAATAAAAATAAGAATAAAAAACACTTCTAAAGAATAATGTGCCCTGTCAGTCACTATTCAACGCTTTGGGTTGAGGGCTGATTGAGCTGTGAGGGTGGTCTTCTCTTTTTCACTTTTCATGACACATGTATCTGAAAACTACTGATAGGACCCACCTGTTTTGAGAGGAAGATACGAGCCACATGGATTTCATTATATTGTTGTGATTTCTAAGTTACATACCCCAGATTTAAAAAAGAGCCCTTTTTGATTTGCAAACTTATTCAAAGAGGTAAACAAATTTTACGGACAGGAAGATGAGAAGTGTTTTGTAGGTGTCATATGGCTTCACTCTAGTTTGTAGTTTATCAATTTGACCTGAACAAACCCTGTGCTTATGGCATTATTAGTGATGTCACATGTACATGCTGATGGATACACTGCAACAGAGATACAAGAAACTAGCGAATGTACTTAAAGCAACTGACTTAATTCCAATGCAGCAAACGTACTCGTCTTTGTATCGATTTTGGTTTTCAGTGGTAAAAGTAAGAGCATTGAAATCATTCCCTTACTTAAAGGGAGAGTACAAATAATTTAATTACATATATATTCTTTATGTGTCCCCAAACAATAGGTCAAATTGTACAAATCATTATTGACCCTTTCTGAAGAAAAGTTTAAACTGGAGTCTTAATTAAAAATACATTAAACCTGATGTCCATCATAATATCTATGTTTACAACATTCAAGCAGATGATCCATCAGAGAGCAGAATTATACTCTTATTTGGGTTGTCAGTTTGTATAGGGTCAAATTTAGCATGTTTTGGTTCTTGTCTTATTTAAAAATCTTTTTTATTACAAAATTCTCAACAACAAAACATAAAATAGCACCACCAAATGAAACCAGGTACAAAAAGTAGTCTTATGTAATTTATACCATTTCTAGCAAAATTCCAGCAGGTGGATTGCATCAGTAATCAGGGCTCAAGAGGAAGATTCTGACAACCAAATTGTGATTTTTGAATGACTTTATCAGACCAGTGCATATTACACAGTGTCCCTTTGAGTACAAGAACAAAAGTACAGGCTTAAAATGCAATTATTGACAGATACAATATTTATTTGAGAGGTTTGAAGTATTGCCTTTGCAACACAATCAGTTGAATGGTTATCTGAACTTAGAAGCATGACTAACTGCAATTAATTAATTAATTTAGAAGGATGGCTAACCTCTGTATATTGTTTTTATGTTCAGATATTTGAAAATATAAAGGAGAAGAAGATACAAATAGGGTTTAAAATTAAGTAAATTTAAATAAAAGTAAATAAAAATAAGTAGGACTATTTTTTTTAAGGGATATTGAATATTCCCAGTAAAAATATATACAACAATTTTCCTCTTTATAAAAAATGTGAGCTGAAAGAACAGGTAATCAGGCAAAAAAAGTGAGCTATGAATAACTAACATGTTATTGTACTACAAATATACCAAAATGCATGAATAACAAATGCTCTTCCAAGTTTACAGGAGGTCTTACTCACTGCTGGCTCGGTGCTCCATGTGCTGAGCTTGCGTCCCTCCCTCTGTATCAAACGGCTGCAGGACCACCCCCCTGCCGTCTGTGTCCAACACGACTGAGCTCTCGTTCACCGTGATCTCGCTGGCCCCCGTGATGCCGTTGGCTTGGCCCCCCACAGAGGTGTCGTAGTCTGGGAGAGCCTCGTCAGAGCAGTCTGGGCTCAGCTGGAGGAAACCCAACGGTAACAATGGAAGTCAGTTGATTGAGGGATTGCATGATATTGGTAGCAATATCATAGTATGGTAATAGCAATCGTTAGCAAAAATGCTGCGATTTTAAAACATTTTTAGAGGTCTGTTTGAAAATAGCTTTTTGAGTAATGCTTTGGGATGTGTGGTAGCCGACCACTTGAAGACTTATTGAATTGTGTGGGTAAATCTAGAGTACATACATGTTTTTACTCAGACAAGTTGTTTAGTAACATATGTTGGGTAACATATTATAATAATAATAATCAAATAGTTGTTTAAATCCAAAGAGGTCAGTTGATATGGGATCTTTTCTTCATTTGACCTAGACATTAGCATAAGTGATGACTTGGAGAACATCCTAGGAGACACATTTTTTTGTTTGATTCAAAATACTTTATAAACACATTCAATTCTGGAGTCATTATACTATTATTAGCTCAGCAAGTCTATGGGAAAAAAAACAAAAACAATTAATCAGTTACTAAATTAGTTGATAGCTCGTTCAACACAGTGGTTCCTCAGTCATCCTGGGGGTTAAATTCTAAAACTTCTTGAAATAGCAGCTATATGGCTGTAAAACCCCTCACCACAGTAAAAACACGGTTCTAACCACGTGAACTAACGACTGCTGAAGTGCGATTGCCAAAATATCAAACCAGTTCGTTGTAGGTCTGAGCGCTGCTGCAGCTGTCAAACACCGTGCATACACTGTAAAAAGCAGTTGCAAAAGGACACCGCACTGAAGGGCAGGAGCAGGACTGAGGGCTACAGGAAGACCGCGGTTGTCCTCTAAACTAATCTCTGCGGTGCACACAAGACAGAACAGTTTTCTGTCATCTTATACTGGCGGTTAGACAGTATGATGTTGTGCATTATGTTATTGGAGTATACACACAAAGCATGAGAAAAACGCTTAAAAAAAATCATACAAAATTGCACACAAAAAAATCTGTGAAAGGTGAAACTCTTTATAGTGAGGGACAACTGTAATCAACTAGAGAAAATGTGACACGCACAACATAGAAATTTGACAAGAATTGGAATCCTATTTTTCAATATGTTGGGAGACCGGCCTTTCCAACCCCTATAAATTGGTTTTTATCACTATTTTTGTTTACATTTATATGACTATACCTTAACTCTGTAAACAACACAGAACCGTCTCACAGGCAGCTATTTGATCTGTGGACTTTTTCAAGTTTTTGTTATCGTTTATTTGGGAAGAATTGTTTTGCTTTTTGTCTCCTCGGTTACTTTTTGTCAAAATGAATACAACATATTCATGGAAAAACATCAGCAATAGAATGCAAATGTGACTCACCCCTAAAGCTTTGAGAATATTCATCTTACACATTGGACATGTTCGATGGTCTTGTAGCCATGGGTCCACACAGTGTTTATGAAAGACATGTCTGGAGAAGCACAAAAAACACAAAAACGCATGAGAGCTTGACCCACTTCATAGCTTTGATCACATTTGGGGCGACTGGGGCTTACTTGCAAGGTAACACGCGCACCACATCGTTTGGCTTATAGCCCTCTATGCAGACTGCGCAGTTGTCGAAATCAGACTCGGTCTCCTAAAAGGGGAAACATAACACTGAGCACTGGAAGCAGTCAAGAAATCTTCACCTACAGTAGATCAGCTGAGCACATACACCTTACCTTGTCTCCTTTCCGGATGGTGCGTGTTTGAAGCTTGCAAATAGCTTTTTTAGCAGCATCTCCCAAGCGCCTCTGCAAGAAGAAGAGAAACATACTACAGCTATTTGACTTGACAAGACTGCATGATGTGATGAAATAGAAGACTTATCACTGGTTTTAACAGAAGGGAGCACATTACCCCTGTTTTAGCATCCCTCCACTGGCTCCCTGTGTATTTTGGAATTGATTTTAAAAATTTTGTGATCAAAATTAAAGCTTGGTAGATCTGGCACCGAGCTAAATCTTTGACCTTTTAACCTTGTACAAAATGTTAAAATGAGATTTTTTACAATGCTCTTAATGTTAGGACAAACATGAGTCACATCATACGATTTTATTTAGCCTTTATCATATCAAAAAGACACTGTCACTCACTTCAACCAATATGTTTTAATTTTAGAATTTATATATTTTTGGCAAGGAAGGCTAATGTCAATTTTCCACATACAGTTAAATCCAGAAAATTAGAATATTGTTCAAAGTCTTTTTTGTTATAATTTTGGTGATTGACGGCATATAGTAATTTTTCAGAATATTGAAATACTGTACTTTCTGGACTATTTTGCGCACCTGTATATAAAGCCGCATTAGCAACATTTCAAATTAATGGACATTTTGTCCACATAAAGGGCACTTGAATGCAAGTCACAGGTTTTTATCTAGTAATGTAGCAGAAAGATGGCTGTTTTAACTGGTCACAGCAGCTTAACTTTGCTTCGATGCTTGTACTCATTCACCAGTCTGTTTTGACAATAAACAAGTGTAAATGCTAAAAATTATAAATGCCCAACTCTAGCACATCACAAATACACATATCAGCTGCATCACTATACAAGCATCAGGGATCAAAGAAGAAAAAAGTAGAGGGATATAGTCCGGAAATTACATTATTCAATAATATTATTAAAAAATGCTTGATCTATTCCACTTTGTGTGTAACGACTCTGTCATATATTAGTTTCACATTGTAAGTTGAATTATAGAAGTAAATGGACTTCAGGCTGGGGCCGGGCTCGGCTGGTGATGCTTCAGTGCCTGCTCTGCTCTCCAGCTGTCAGCCCAATCTGCACTCAGCCAGCTCTGGTGCACACATTTACATTGTGGCACAACCAGGATATTATGTCATGGGTCAAATGTAATACTTTTCTGTGTCATTTTGTGGACAGAACGTACAATCTTTTAATCTGATGGGGCCTCCTGCCAAACTACACGTGTCATCTATTATTCAAACACTATTGCAACTGTGGAACATTAATCCACATTAGAGACAAGCTTTACGTATGGAACATCATATTGCCAAGCGGTAAAACATTTGGGGGTCCTTGGGCAGCACAGTGGCTAGCACTCTCACTTCTCAGCCAGAAGGTTCTGGGTTAGAATCCCGGTCAGAACCGAGCCTTTCTGAGTAGAGTTTGCATGTTCTCCCTGCATCTGCGTAGGTTTCCTCCAGGTGCTTCGGTTTCCCCTACCACTAAAAACATGCACAAAAGCTATGAATGTAATGAGTGAGTGAATGGATGGTGTTGGTTGGGCAGTAAGAGCTGCACCCAGTACACTTAGCACCAGCCTCTCACTAATCCTCCTGCAGGTGGTGAGTCCACAGGAGCTGAGATCTTTCAGTGGGGGCTTCAGGCAAAGTGGGGTGAAGTGTCCCTCCCAAGGAAACAACGACAGCTGACACCAGTGGGAGTCTTGAAGTAGGTATGGTGCACTCGAACCCACAACCTTCAGCCTCAAAGGCCAATGCTCTACCAACTGAGCCACTGTCGCACCAGCCATAGTGGCTCAGTACCCAGATTTTGTAAAAAACAAAACAAAAAAGCATTCTGTCAAACTGTTCTGGCTGGTAAGACATACCTGGTTTCTGTCTCGTGCGTTGGCGTAGCGAAACCTCTGGATGTAGTAGAAGACGAGCCAGGCCAAGGAGATGATCATGAGGACAATGAAGGAGATAGACACAAAGACCACGGAGGTCCTGCTCACGTACTTCTGCAGGTTCCGGGTTCCTATGGTGATGTGCACCGAGACCACAATGTTCCTCTCCAGCAAAGACACCAGCTCCAGCCCTTTGTGCTCTGTGATCATGATGGCCACCATGTCACCGGTCCCTACAGAGAACAGACAAGATAATCGGTTCATGAGACATCAGAATATTCCAAAAAGCCTATAGTTTTACATTGGGGTGGAGGGCAGCTGAAAATCTTGTAACTATGGTCACTGTCAAAAGTAAAATAACGCATCTGTAATTTCAGGCCAATCCACATGGAATGAAGCATATATCAACAATGATCTAATTACTTTCCCATAAAGGTGTCTTGAAGTGGCGACAATAATAAAATAATACATGGATGATGGTCACTAGAAAGGACTTTCAGACATAAAAAAGATGGCGCATTTGTAATCTGATCACCATACAAATAATCTGGAAAATCTTTTGGAAATTTTCTTTTTTGACAATTATTTTAAAAAGGGTTTATTTCTCGTAAAATTGCACAATGAAGATTAACAAACTAATGTGGTAACTCTTGCCTGTAAAAGCCTTATCCTGGAACACCTCAGAATTCAACCAGTGTAGGGCCTGGTTAGTGCTGTGATGGGAGACCTCAGGGAATCCCAGGGGTGGCTGCAAAAACTACTGAAAACTTTTGTTGTGTCACGTCAACCACATTTTCTAGTGTGATTGTGAATGATTGATGATGGTCGGAGGGGCCAATGGCATTGACTGGTTGCTTCACTTCAGCCAGTCAGTGACAACAGTAGTAGTTTATCACCACTGTGTATGGAGTGTATTATTATGACTAAAGTTGTATATTAAAAGCATGCAATTTTTAGGAACCGGGAGGTAGGTGAACACACTCCCTACTATTATTGGGATCAAGCCTAGTCTGGTCTAGTGAAGTCCCCTTACTTTCTTTGACCATTGTCTGTATTGCAGAGGGCAGGTCTTTGTTCAGTGGCCTCTGAGTCATCTCCCGGGCCAGAAGGAGCTGAAACCTTGTGTGTTGACTAAGCTTCCTGTCAGGAACTGTCTGTTTCTCTACACAACAAAGTTACTGGCACACCAAACCATTTATTACATGTGTGTGGGATGGTCACTGAGAATTTAATACTATTTTGCAACACTTTTCATGCTAATTGAGAATAAAAGATAGTTAGGAGCAGAATGTGTAACATGATACTGCATCAAACATGATTTTAAAAAGTGGGGTTTGCACTCTCAGTCCCACAGATTACATAATTCTGTCTCTTCCCTATATCGTTGCTATATTCCTTCATAAATCCCTCACATGTCGCAGGTCACTGACTAAAGCACTTCTCGTACCAAGTGTTTGTGCTGCTCCTGGCGCCGTGCTGTTTTCAGGATGCACTCTTGATGCTCTCATAAAGCCTCATAAATTCTTTTATGTAACCAACCGTTGTGGCGCAAAGTCTGCACAGCTGCTTTGTCACAGGGTGTATGTCTGCTTATGTAATTTCGGGAGAAACGCAGATAATCATATGTACGCTTGAGAAGAAAAACAGAAATCTCACACTTGTCTCTATAGGATTTATAACCAATGGAGACAAATGGTGCTGGCTGGCTCAAAATGGTTCATATAATAGAGCAAACATGGATTTGGAGGGAAACAGGAGCTTGTATTTGGGGAGCAAACATGGTAATAATAAGTGTGCGCTGTGTGTGGTTAGAGGCCTGCTAATAACAAGATTAAGAGAAAAAGATTTCCTCCCACAGTGGGGAAAATTCAGTGTTGCATCACAAGTTACAGAACAGTAGGAATGAGAAGCACACAACACAAGTGAATCTTACATATAGCACAACTCAATACTTGAAAAATGAAATAAAATACATTTAATAAACCACAAAATATACTTCTAGATTCAACAAGTAACTTTTATTTAAAAAGATATTTTTCGATTCTGCCGTTTAAAATTGAAATACAACGATCTATCTATATCAGTGTATTATTCTGAAGAAGGAATACAGTTTCTCACTTCAGATTCTTATCTACACAAAGTGAGAAATTGTCCCATAGTCACAGTGACAAAACCAATGGTTAGACTTTTATATGATTATAAAAGAGGGCACACCAGCTGGGTCACTGTCCCCCCACGTCCAGCAGAAAACAAACAGAATTGGGAGAGGAAGAATTTATCTTTGAGATTCCAGTTAGCACCCATTGTTTCATGTTGCACCATCATAATCTGGTTACTGTAGACACTATATTTGTAATATTTTTTTTCCTGGTTTGAGTATCTTATTCTATCACTAATATACAGTGCATCCTGGAAGTATTCACAGCGCTTCACTTTTTCCACATTTTGTTATGCTACAGCCTTCATTAATTTTTTTCCTCACAATTCTACAAACAACACCCCATAATGACAACATGAAAAAGGTTTTTTTTGAGATTCTTGCAAATGTATCAAAACTAATTTTGTCCTCTCACTCCCATCTCTGTGTGGAGTGAAAGGACAAGTGCCCAAAAATAACAATTGTAAACCGCTTTGTGACTCTGGTCTGTGAAAGGCGGTATATAAATAAAGATTACTTACTTACTTACTTAAAAAACGAATAAATCACATGTACATAAGTATTCACAGCCTTTGCCATGTAGCTCAAAATTGAGCTCAGGTGCATCCTGTTTCCACGGATCATCCTTGAGATGCTTCTACTGCTTAATAGGAGTCTACCTGTGGTAAATTCAGTTGATTTGACAAGATTTGGAAAGGCACACACCTGTATATATAAGGTCCCACAGTTGGCAGTGCATGTCAGAGCACAAACCAAGCATGAAGTCAAAGGAGTTGTCTGTAGACCTCCGAAACAGGAGTATCTCGAGGCACACGTCTGGGGAAGGGTACAGAAAAATTTCTGCTGCTTTGAAGGTCCCAATGAGCACAGTGGCCTCCATCATCCGTAAATGGAAGAAGTTTGGAACTACCAGGACTCTTCCTAGAGCTGGCCGGCCATCTAAACTGAGCGATCGGGGGAGAAGGGCCTTAGTCAGGGAGGTGACTAAGAACCCGATGGTCACTTTGTCAGAGTTCCAGGGTTCCTCTGTAGAGAGAGGAGAACCTTCCAGAAGGACAAACATCTCTGCAGCAATCCACAAATCAGGCTTGTATGGTAGAGTGGCCAGACAGAAGCCGCTCCTTAGTTTGGAGTTTGCCAAAAGGCACCTGAAGAACTCTCAGACCATGAGTAAAAAAATTCTCTGGACCGATGAGACAAAGATTGAACTCTTTGGCGTGAAAGCCAGGTGTCATGTTTGGAGGAAACCAGGCGCTGCTCATCACCAAGCCAACACCATCCCTACAGTGAAGCATGGTGGTGGTAGCATCATGCTGTGGGGATGATTTCCAGAGCGCTTTTGACCTCAGACTGGGGCGACGTTTAATCTTTCAGCAGGACAACGACCCTAAGCACACAGCCAAGATAACAAAGATGTGGCTTCAGGACAACTCTGTAAATGTCCTTGAGTGGCCCAACCAGAGCCCAGACTTGAATCCAATTGAACATCTCTGGAGTGATCTGAAAATGGCTGTGCACCGACACTACCCATCCAACTGTAATTGATGGAGCTTGAGAGGTGCTGCAAAGAGGAATGGGCAAAACTACCCAAAGACAAGTGTCCCAAGCTTGTGGCATCACATTCAAAAAGACTTGAGGCTGTAATTGCTGCCAAAGGTGCATCAACAAAGTATTAAGCAAAGGCTGTGAATACTTATGTACATGTGGCTTCTTATTTTTTTTAATTTTTAATGAATTTGCAAGAATCTCGAAAACACTTTTTTCATGTTGTCATTATGGGGGGTTGTCTGTAGAATTGTGAGGAAAAAAATGTATTGAATCAATTTTATTAATGGGTTAAAGTTGGGGGGGGGGGGGGGGGGGTAGTTAATAAAGGAAGTATTAATGTTTGAAATAGCCTTTATTGGCATCCTTCATTTCTCTTTAATATCATGATTATTGTGAGGGGAATTATTACATTTATTCACCAATATTCATGATTCATATTCATGAACATTTAAATTATAGTTTTGCTTTTAATCTTGCCATGAAAGTGTATATGAATTGTGAATTGAATTTGTACAATTACATAAACAAACCTGTCATCTGGAGGGAAATGAGGAAAAAGGCAGTAAGGCAAGTAAGATTTCCCTAAGCCGGGATCTTATCTGTTCCACTGTTCTGGGTGACGCAGCCAGGGCGACCAAAATAGCACCAGCTAAAATAGGAGTTGTGTGTCAGATAGACAAATGGTGCTGAACTGGTGCAAGGAAGATCCATGTTTCCAAGCTCATAATGTATTAAACCTGGGGTAATTTTAAAACCACAACTATTTAATAAAATCCTTGGCTACATAACATGTAAATGTTAAAACATGTATATGTTATGTTATTTATAAGATAATCCAAAAGGAAAACACCAGGTTGTGGTCATTTGTTCACAACATTTGACTTTTACAACAATAGATTAATTATGGAAAAATAAAATCAACTTTAATCATGAAATGATCCCATCATGACACATTTAGTGTATGATCAATGGAACTGTTACAACTCAATTAGCAGATCTGCATTTCCATTAGAAGCAACAGGTAAATGATTTATTTATAAACATAAAAAGGTATACAAAGGCTCGGTTGTTGGTTTGTAGAAAGAATCTTTAAGCCTTATGTTTGGGCTTTCCCATGGCACACAACAGGTTATGTGCTCAAAATAGCTCTGCAGTCTTTACTATGGTTTTCTTAGGACGCATGAAATCTAATTTTCCACCGTAAACTTGGCAACTTGGATAAATTACTAAATATAGAGATAAAGACAAACATGTATATTCCATGGCCTTATTGTGTTACAGTATTATTAAACATGCACATAGTTATCCATGATGTGTCCTTTGAATGGTCAGCCAGGTGCTGAACTGGATATGCAGCTAATGTGGAAAAGGTAGTGCAATCTGCAATGCATACGTCAGGAGGTGTTTGGTCATGTTTTTGGCACTACTGACCTACATAGTACCTGTGGCTGCAGCTTCCTGTGCTGGGTAAGTTGAACCTGTGTGGCCAGCTGGAGCTTGCATGGCATACCTGTGTCATTTGCATGTGGAGAAATCGAATTGTCATGATGAGAACCAAGTGTCACACACCGTTAACTCCGGAGGCCTCCGGAGGATTAGAGCACAGACTCATTCTAGTCAACAGTCAACACGTCTCAGTGGCCGAGTGAAACTGGTGGGACATATTTCAACATTGATTGGTGCTCCAACTGTGTCACATCCATAGACTGTCACATCAAAGATAAAAGGCCATTCGCGGTGCACACGTGCCTTACCTGGGTGGGACATGGTGATGGTGTCGTTAGGGCTGCCTGATCCCACGCTGTACACAATGACCGCAGTTGCGTTGTTGCTGGCGGCATTTCTGATCTTCTCTTGATAAGTACAGTTCCCTGCAGCGATCAGAGCGACCCAGGCGCTGCGCTGAGGCACCAGCGGGAACCGGGCGTTAGGGTCGCAGCCCTGCCTGTCCTGCGGGAGAGGAGGCATCAGCACCACGCCGCTGCTCTCCTTTTTAGGGGACTGCTCCCCGTACCGACCACACTCCGTTTTGTCGCTCTTTGCCTCAGCTGTGGTTGGGTCATTGTACGTAAGTTCTACAAAGGCGGTGTACCACTCCTCTTTCTCTGCCACCGTGAAATCCAAACACAATAAGTGCACAAAGCAGAAGGACAGAAGCCACGTAGAGAGCGCCAGACTGCGGCAGGCGCGGATCAGGGACATGGCTGCTGTCTGCACTCCGCACACAGCCTACAACAGCCACCGCACACGACACAGCATGGTAGACAGGACAGACTCGGCCCTGTCCGCCGTGGAGCAGTCCGTCTGTGGCGCCTGGACTCGACACGACTCCACCTGCAGGACACGGGACACTGCACTCAGGAGCAGGAGCTGTTGTTGTCCACTGTCAGCTGTTTGCGTCCCGCTCCTCCATTGGCTGTGCAGCAACACGTGGCATGCCCATGTGTACAGGACAGACTGTATGGTACAGCAATAAGCTTTGTTGAGCCTATGGTCACTATGGTCAGCCTGTGGTTCAGTGTTTGTCCACATAAAAACAGTTACATTTGGCCACTTGCATGACCTGTTCATTTAGTGCAGTTTTGTGACTTGTAGTTTTACAAGTCACAGAACAATTTTTGCAGTCTATGGGTCTTACATATTCTACAGACATTAAAACATGTTTGTTTCATACTATTGAGTACATATGTTGAGCAAACAAAGTTAATAAAAACTTAATAGAAGGGAAAGAATAGTTAGGGAGACATTTCATTATTGGGAAAATAATAACCCGGGCACTTTCATCAGATGTCCTCTTAGCTTGTTTGTCCTGAGCTGTTCTTTATCAAAACAAACCTGGACTACAGACAAAGAGTATATACAACTACTACTACTACTACTATTCTAGTACTAAGGTACTTATTTGCTACGGATCAGACACGGAACCATACATGTGTTAAATAAGCACTATAGTTTCCGCCCGAGCACATTTTAAAGACACACAGCAGAAGATTTACGAAGAATTCAGGTAAAGACAGATTTAAAAAATAAAACTATCTTAACTGTTTTAGTTTGCATTAACATGGTCTGCTGTGCAACTTTGTCCTGGAAATATGAGAACGATGAGTGAGATCATTCGCCAAGTGAATTTGAAGTCTGCGACAGTGCTCGTATTAGCTAGCATAAACCTGCTAAACTTTGGCATAGTTTCTATTGAAGAAGTGGAGCCACAGCAATTGAGTATTCTTTTATATTTTTGCTTCCATTTCATGTGTACATTGTCAATACATTTAACCGACATGAGGTCTACCGTTTATTGAAGGTGAAATTAAATTTGTGAACAGAATCACAGAGATGTTCACCGTTTAATTTAATGTCACATGTGGTACTGTCCTTGAAATAATTATGAAATACTGTTGATTTGATATTGTAAAATTGTGCCATAAGCCTTAATGTGTCAACTGACCATTGATCTACACTGGGTAACAAAAAATATTTTTTGAAAATAGTCCAGGGTTTTCCAGCTGAATTAGACTAATGTTGATGCTCTGAGTCCGAAAATGACCTTGGTTTTGCTACAGAAATATTATTTAAAATCGATTTTGCGTAAAAAAACTAATTTCTGCGGATCATCAGCTGAGAAACCCTTGACGTTTTTTCCGTTTTCCTCAAGAAATTAAAGTCAACGTATCCAAAGTCATTCAGTTTTTATTTACTCCATCAAATTTGATAAGCAGAATTCATAATAACGTAGACGTACGTCTCTCCTGAGGCGACAGTAGCTCAGTTGGTAGAGCATTGGCCTTTGGGCCTGAAGGTCGTGGGTTCAAGCCCACCATAAGACCTACTTCACGACTCCCACTGATGACTGCTGTCGGGCAAGACACCCAAGGCAAGACACCTTGGGCAAGACACTTAACCCCACTTTGCCTGAAAGATCTCAGCTCCTGTGGACTCACCACCTGCAGAAGGATCAGTGAGGGGCTGGTGCTAAGTGTACTGGGTGCAGCTCTGACTGCCACCCCCCCTGACCCAGAAATGGATTAAGGGGAAGACAATGAATGGATGGATGGATGGATGGATGGTAGACGTACGTAATCCGTAACACTATGGCGGTATCTCAAAAAGTTGACCTGATAGAGCAAAATGCATGTGATATTCGGACTCAGAACACCAAAATTAGTCTAAATCAGTTGAGAAACCCCTGACCATTTTTTGGCTGTCAACTTGTGCTATCTATCCATTCTGTCCATATCCAAATTATGCATAACAGTTTAATGGATAACTTTACATGTCACATGTGGCATAGATAGTGTCATTCAGATTGTGCAAAAAGACATGAAGTGTGCATGCTAAAGGTTAAAAATATTGTCCGTGCAGGATATATTATGTACAAAAAGTAGCTATGGCAGTGTTGTTTTTTCAGTCCTAGTGCAGATCATTAGTGACTTATTGAACAGTCTGATAGTGGAGGGGATGAAGGCTGAGGCAGTAGCCTTCAAAGAATGCTAGTCCCCCTACTAAACTTTGCCTGTGAAGGTACTTTTATAAATGTACTTAATGCAATTAATTATACCAGTTGTTGGTTTTTATACTTCAGGTAAGATTTATATGGTACATGGTAAGCAGATAGCTGCTTATCATGTTTATCTAATTATTCCCACTGTGGGATGATTACAGCAGGTTCTCATATCTTAACTCTACAAGGTTAGTCTGTGCAAAGGTATTACCTTTATGCAAGATGGATAGAATTCCATTCTGTGGGACTCTCCAGGCAAAATAGTAACTTATTTAACATAGAAGTAACACTTATCTGGTAACCACTTGGAAAAGAATATATATTCTATTTTTGCAAGACACGTATATAAATCATCTTGGCCAAATCCCTGATTGTTTGTAATGAATGGGAAGGAGTTCTCAAAAGGTTGTTTATGACATGTATTGCCCACTGTTGAATTCAATGTAATACTTTGTTTGCAGGGTTGCCTACTTGTGTGAAAGCCGGTGTATAAGATGCCCAAAAAGAAGACCGGTGCTCGCAAGAAGGCAGAGAATCGTAAGGAGAGGGAAAAGCAGAACAGGGCCAATAAAAAGCATGTGGAAGTGGCTAAACACCCATGCAACATAAACATGGTGATTGATACAGCCCTCTCGAAACATCCACCAAACAGTACGCATCTTCTAAAACTTGTGTTGTTTTATCTGTAGGAATGCGACAAATGCCAGAGGCAAGTATTTTAACCACAGTGCATTAGAGTAAAACCTGGACTCTATTCACCCTTGTTGTACATGTTTGAAGGACACAGAAAAACAGGGCGTTCTGTTATTTCTGCAATGCCGTGCAGAAGCTGCCCGTGTGCGCACAGTGCGGTTGGTGTTTCTTGTCAAATATGATGTTATTTGATTAAATGTTGGAATTGTGATTGATTAATTGTTTGACTGTCCTCTTAGGGAAAATGAAATGCATGAAGCCCTCAGATTGTGTCATTAAACACCCAGGAATCTACACTACTGGAATGGCAATGGTGGTGAGTTACGATGTTACTATGTTAAAATCTGTTGGGAAGTCTCGTAATGAGAGAGGTGATATTAGCAAAAAGTTAATAATATCAAAATTGTAATAGAATACACTTAGTTTATGATTTATTGTCATAGCTACTAATTAACAGCAAAACAACCAATTGCAAAAAAGTACTCTCTACAGGTTTAATATTTCTAATCTGCATATACAGTTGAAATAGGAGTACTTTAGTTTGTCAGTTGGAAGTGAGTTATGGCACAATTTTCATGAATTAAACCACTGAAACCACACATTATCTGTATACTTGGCCATCCAAAACATGTACCATCCCAAAGAGAGTGAAAAAATTTAGCTGTGAAATGAATTAAACTTTATATCTACCATAATTGCCAGAATTTGAGCCACTAAGTAATTTGATCTATATAGCGATGTGGCCAATTTTTGAATTTGTTTTGGCATAGCTCACATTCCTGCTTCCCAGTGTTCTTATAGACTCCACCAAGTTCTAGTAGTGATGAAACTTACGTATGTTTCCTGTCAAAATAGACAGTATTTATCAGTATTTACCAGTGCGCTAAACCACCTTGTATTTAATCATGGTGTGTCCAATTAAATTGTTTTTTTTCCCCATGAGCTATTAGTTAAGTCTTACATTAGGCTTACATTAAGTCTTACATTTAGAAGAAGAAACCTGCAGGTGTATTTAAAAAAAAAAAAACTTCAAATTTAGCTTGTGCAGTTTATCTACAGATGCACTGAATTACACTGAAGTACTATGAAAAGTTTCCTCCCAATGTGAGAAGTAGGGAAAAACACCTCCCCTTGTGCCATACTGTTTCAACTGTTTGTAAGAAAATGGCTAACACTAAGAACTGTAATACAAAAGAGTACCCTGAAGATCTTGCTAGTGTAACAAATCTTTGTAGTTATGTCAACCTCCAAAGTTACGGAGGACCAAAATTATGATTACACTTCTCCAGTGTGGGCTTGGCCAGTGGCCACCAATCATTCACATGATGGACTTTGCCCCAAGATACAATAACAGTTTATATACAGTATAAAGTGTTATATGATGTTTAATATAGTTTATAGTTTAATATAGTTTATATTAAACTTTATATAAGTTTTTAATTTTTTATTTGTATAATGTTCTTTTCATTAGTTAGTCATTTTGGAGCTTTCATTCCTTGTGTGTGTCTGTGACCCATCCACCAGGGGGCAGTGTGTGACTTCTGTGAGGCCTGGGTTTGCCACAGCAGAAAGTGCCTCAGCACTCATGCATGTGCCTGTCCCCTCACTGATGCAGACTGTATTGAGTGTGACCGGAGCGTCTGGGATCACGGTGAGTCCCTCTGTCTGTTTTACTGCACAAACATTAGGACATCACAAAGGATGTCACATTGATTTGACTTCCTACAGGAGGGAGGATCTTCCGCTGTTCCTTCTGTCAAAACTTCCTGTGTGAAGATGATCAGTTTGAGCACCAGGCGAGTTGCCAGGTCCTCCAGGCGGAAACGTTCAAATGTGAGTGATTGTTTCTGTGGTGGATGTCTTATGAGTTATTCACTACCACAGTAATGGCTGCAGGCTACTTGCACATACAAGCTAAATGTATCATATTCTGTGATGTAGGTGTTTCCTGCAACAGACTGGGTCAACATTCTTGTCTGCGCTGTAAGGTGAGTTTCCATTGTGAGAAGAGGGGTGATAACTTTACTTTTCATATCCTAGTGACACGTTTACTTCCAGCAGTAAATAAAACAATCTAGTCCATTCTAAGCCATAATAAAGCAAATGAATGATCTGTATGGTTCCGCACAGTGGTGGTGGTAAGCTACCACTGAAGTCAAAGACTGATGAGAATGATTTATGTTCATAACACCATGTGTTTTTTCCAGGCCTGCTATTGTGATGACCATGCTAAAAGCAAAGTGTTTAAGCAGGAGAAAGGCAAAGCACCTCCCTGCCCTAAGTGTGGCCACGAGACCCAGGAGACCAAAGACCTCAGCATGTCCAGTAAGCCCCTACCTTTGACTATAGTTCTTTCTGCTCTGCTGACTAGTAGTTTCAAATCAGCAACAGGCTTCACGTCTATTGTGGCTCTTCAAAACAAGAACGGGGGGGGGCATATTAATCATGTTACCATGGGTCACATTGATCACGTTGTCATGATGATCACGTTACCATGGTGATCTTGTAACTGAATTACCACGGTAACGCAATTACCGTGGTAATTCAGTTACCATGGGTCATATTGGTCATCTTACTGTGATTGTTATGGTAACATGGGTCATATTAATCATGTGTATAAAGTATCAGTGGTAGTGTCATGTCACGGTCCTTCTAACGCAGCACGCTCGGTGAAGTTCGGTCGTCAGAGCTGTGCTGACGACGATGACGACGACGGTTATGGCGCGTCCGGTTATGACTCGTACTGGAAGAACCTGGCGTCCGGAGGCGGCGGTCAGGAGGATGACTATGCAGATGATGATGATGATGACGATGATTATGATGATGAGGAAGATGAGGAGGAGGAAGATGAGGAAGAGGAGGAAGAGGGCGACACACCAAATAAGTCGATGTCTGCGCTGAAGATAGACACCACTTAGGTCTATTCATTTGATGAATATGGTTTAAGAAATTATGTACCCAGCTTCTTAAACAATGTTAATAAAACATTTCTATTTGGATCGTTGTTTCCTATTATTTGCCAGGTAGTCTATTTATGCCATCAGATATTCTCTAAAGTTCCTGATGTGATATAAACCCACTTCAAACTTTTTGAATTGTATTATGAACAAATTGCTGATCTCTTTGTTCAACTGAGAAGTGGTAACTGTATCTGCAGATTAGAAACGACACCCTCTAGCTCAGTTATAAATGGGTAATAGATTTGAAGAATTTTTTTTTTTTTATCAAAAAATAGCTTATAATAATTAGTGCATTTATACTCGCTGAGAATAAATACATTAAACAGGATTGGTTGGACAAAGCAGGCGGCACTTAATTAGGCTTTATTTTTTATATATAACAGTATAACCAGTAATACAATCTAAGCAGAGATTCACAGACAAATTTCCACAAACACTTCCTCCAGTTCAACCAGGGGAAACACAGCATCCCTTCTTCCCCAGGTAGGTGTCCAGGAGATATCCAAAACTGATGGTCAAGCCACCTCAACTGCCCCCTGTCAAATTCACCTGAATAAAATAACAAGTCAGGTAAGACAAATGTGTATAAACGTGTATAACGAGCTCCTTATTAGAATAGCTGTTAGTGGGTTATTTGTTGATAGTTACTAATCACTCAATCATACTTCATGCGATTCTCCAGTTTATTAGACTGTTGCAAATATATATAATGTTACTTGATTCTACTTTGATTACGCTCATAATAGTGAAATGGTTGTCAGGATGATGATATGAGCCAGTTCAACCTAGAGAGTACTATGATATACTAACACAACACTAAATATAACAAGATTATTGTGGCTTCAATGTTAAGTGGTCCATTAGTGGCGCCCACAGATCTCCTTGCAAGAGGGAGAATCAAATCAATTTGTGAGTTTATTGATTCCATAGACAGCATGGATGGCTGGTTACTGGCAACAACAAAAAAGATGGAAAAAGCTATTGCCACTTTTTATTGAGGTGTTTTCGTATGGTTTGCCTAGTCCGTTAGTTTTTAGCTTCCGCAGCATCAGTGCCCTGGCCTCAGCTCTGCGCCTTTTTGTCCAAAGGCACAGTTTGCTGACACTGACCGCCTGTCCGCGTGCCATGAAGTGAAGTGACGCGTGCGTGCGTAAGGGGAGTGCACTGTGACGAGAGCAGTGCGGGTGCGGCTCACCGTCCGAGCCAAATGTGGATGCTCCTCCAGCTCTCGCTGTCTCCACGTCTCAGAGCGCAAAGACACTACGCGGAGTGGATTCCCCCACACACGGGCCAAGATGTGAAGAGGTGCGCTGCTCGCTGGCTTCATGAGGGCGATCTCGCTGACCGGCCACTCTACAGCACAGGTGAGGAACTTTGAGCTCTGTGCGCAAGTGCCGGGGTAAAGGCCGCGTGATTAACGGAGGTGTGTCTGCCCACGGTGTTCTCACGCCACGGTGCTGTCCCCCCGCGCGTGCGTCTGCTGAAGCGGCCATTGACCAAAGCTCTGCTGAAGTTTAGACGGGATACTTTCACTTTCACATCTCCGCAGGCTGCAGCTCCAGGCACTCTCTATAAGTTTTCACTACGCACCAATGTAAGAGAATACACATTTCATATTTTCACCGCAGGTCTGACTTCTGTACGTAAACCTTCTGCCGTAAACCACATTAATTCTAGCAGCTCTAAATGCAGATGGCTATAAAATTAGAAAATGCCCGAGGCTTCAAAGGTCCTATACTGCACTTCCTGTCAGTCTGCCTCAGGGCAGCTATGGCGACAATTGTAATTCACCACCACCGTGTATGGAGTGAATGAATGATACCATGTGACTTTGACTGAATGCATTGTATTTAAAAGGAGAATAAAAATAAAAAAAATACTTGTGCTTCTTTACTTTTACAATATCTATACTTTTTCATACTTTTATGATTAGTACCTTTGCCACCTCTGGCAAATATTTTAGTGGTCCATGTTCCAGTTATGGCCGCTAATAGGTGCAAAAAAGATGTTATATCCATCATCCAGTTTGACCAAGCCCTAATGGGTCTCATGGTGGTCAGAATAAACAAAGTATATCAAATCATGCAGTTTGCAACTCAAGATCACTTTCTTCATTTTCTTAAAAATGATAGAGACATGTTTCTGTTTTTTTCTTGTCAATGAAATCGGTTAATCTGTCCCTATTTTTGGCCTGGCAATAGTTTTAATATTTCTTTTGAACCATCCGGCAAATTAATCAAAACTATAGTCGACTGTTGAAATAGTTACTGAACGGTTTTTTGACCCTCACATAGACTCAAACATGCTAAGCAGAGGTTTTAAGACTCAGATCATTCTATCATGACTGCAGAATCAGTCACAATAGAAAGTATTAGAAAGTAATTTTGATCAAACAACCAAATATGTAAGAAGTCATCTCTATGAAGGCATTACTGGAGCTTTTTGTTGTTTTTTTTTAATCCCATATTCACTGAGCTTGTGACAACAGGTGCATTCTTCACTTATAGTTCACACACAGATGTCCTTTAGTATTCACTTTACTTTGCAAGGAAGTTGCTTATTGCAAAGTAGGCTAATTATAGTTATCAAGACTGTAAATGTTATTCCTCTGATAACGCGAACCTTGATTTAATTCTGAAGTTAATACAAAGCTTGACATTTTTTTCCTTTGCAGCACACATTAAAGAGCCATCTGGGAAAAGTTGTTTAAGGTGGTGTTATGTATTGCCATAAGCAGGGGAAGCAGGAGCAGGGGAAGGGAACATAAGTGGCACAGCAAGAAGGTCCTGATTCAACTCCAACTCCAGACACAGGGCCTTTATGAGGAGTCCATGACATAGTCCACTCTGAAGTGTCTTTCGGAGGCCGCAGTACTCCGGATTTAGGGACTGCCAATCTACACTGGCTTGTTGCTGGCTTGTCGCTTTTTGACTTTTCTCCACTTTAAACATCATTACAGTGCTGCCTCCCAAGTATCTATGTCAATTTCAACATCAATGAAAAAAATGATGTGCAGAAGCCCGTTTTTTTGTATTTTTTTAAGAATGGTTCTTAAATAATGTTGTGAAAACAGGGTCCACAATGCACATTCAATATGCTGCTTGTTGTCAATAATAATAAAAATAATAATACTAAAATCCAGGTCCCTCGTCCACCACATGGAGCTACTGTTTTTCTGCTTTTGTCAGTGACTAAAAGTGTTACGATCATGTCAACTTGGAGAAATTGTGTTTAGAGTGTAAGTATGTGACACACTATTAAACTATTTGGTCCAAAGAGGAAGAATGTGGCTCGACTTTTCCCACAGGGAATCTGTTCATCTGCGACACTAAGACTGTTCCAGAACTACAGTTATCATAAACTGGATATTCAAAAGCTGATCTGGAAACCAGTGTTATTCCCACAGTAAAAAACGCTAACATGAAGCCCCGATCTGTAAGCACAGTGCTACTAACTCATTGTATACTTGTGTAAACTAATTAATCAGGGGCTGATTCTGGATCAAGGACGTAGGGCTCGATGTGTCGGATTTTTATTATAGGAAAAAGTTTATTCTCAGGTCTGAAATGACTGTGTACCTGCAAATCTGAAATGTTTACTTCATGTCTCCGTGCGGGTGGGGGGCGGTGGGCTCACGGACAGCGGAGCAGACTGCTCTCTGGATCAGCTCGTTTGAGTTGAGGTGACATCACCTCTATGCAAGAGAGGGCTATAATCTCACAAGTTTTGAGTGTTGTATGGAGTATCACTGAAATTATTATCACACATGTGCATAGGATCGACTGGGAAACATGAAGAGCGCAATATGGCACTTTTAACGCGTTATATACCAAGCTCTGTCCTGTTATGGACAAAGCTTGGTATATAACGCAATCAAATCTGAGGAGGCAAACACCTTGTTCGCTTCCTTGACTCATTCACCAATCTATGTTGACAATAAATGTGCAACCTGTAGATTCTCAAACTTGACAGTCAAAACAATAATTCATAAACTCTATCACAATAAAAATTACTTGTAAGCATGACAGAAAAAAAAAACTGTTACCGGTGTTATTCCAATACTGTTCATCCACTGGGATGGCCAGTCTTACCTATAGATGGTTTTCCGCCACGTGCTTATTACCCATGATGCTTTGCGCGAACGCCATGTTGTGCGTCAAGCTTATATGATTATCTGTGAGGCAAGATATTTGGAGAAATTGGCCCTAATGTATGAAAGTTGTGCAGAAAAGGGTGTATATTTTGAGTGTATCCTCCATTAACGCAAGATCTAACGTCGGATTTATGAACGTGTGAGATCCACCCAGATCTCAGCGTACGCACCTGCGGTGTTCATAAATCTTGCGGCTGAAAACAAACGTATTTATGAATGTCACGCCTAGAAATGCAGCAATCGCCTGTAAAACGCCCCGTTTTTGCGACCGGTCAGCAGGAAGCCGGCCAAAAAGACTGTTTGGAAGCCTCAAATGGCCTGTGGCACGTTTGTTTGTTCATGGTTATGTAAAAATAAATATACGCAATATATTCAGCTAAGTTTTGAACAAATTTGCAAAAATGTTTTGATGAATTAGAAAAAATCTCTCTTGAATTGTAGAAGTGAATAAATAACGAATGAATGAATGAATGAATTCATATATATTGTGCAGCGGTGGCTCTCATTAATGAAGCGTCTGCAGCGTCTTTTGAATGCACTGAAGCGCTGTACACTTGCGAGAGCGTTTGCGGTCCAGATTTTACAGAGAAGCTCTGGAGCCAAAACTTCTGAATGACAGCATTTGAGGAGTTATGTGGCGCGTCTCTCATGGCACCTGCTGTGGATGCATTCCCAAGAGTGTGCAGCGGGTGGACAGTGAGACATTTGGAGTGAGCAATACCATAGTCCATCGGTGCGTTAATGGGGTGTGTGTCTGTGTGAGGCTCACACAAATCTAATGAAAAATACATTGCTTTACCAGATGTGAGGAATACAGATAGAAGTGCGTAATTACGCAGCCCAGAGCCTGCCACAGCAATAGCTGGGTCACACATCCCTGTCGGTTAAAGTGTATTTATATAGAGCCTTACAGTCCAGGATCACAAAGCGCTTCACATTTTAAAAACATACAGATCAAAATAATACACACAGAAGTCAGATTTAAAATCATAGAAACAGAAGAGCATTTCTACTGAGACCTACTGAGTAAAGTTTGTAAAAAGTAAATAGTGGTCTACTAGATCAAAAACTTCGGAAAGATCAAGAAAAATGCCACCTGTGTACTGGTTATTATCAAAGGAAGGGAAAACATCATTAGTAAATTTAAGTAGTGCCTTAGTAACTGAGTAGCTAGACTGGAAGCCTGACTGATGGGGAGAAAAGTAGTTAAAGTTCTTGAGATAGTTGTACAGTTGGCGGAAAATGATCTTTTCCATTATTTTAGTGATAGTGCATATAATAGAGATGGGCCGATAGTTACTTTCATCGGAGTGGTCTCCACCTTTAAAAATGGGAGTAACCCTTGCAGTTTCCCAGATGAGTGGGACAGAGCACGTACTTAGTGACAGGTTAAATAGGTTGGTTAGTGGATAGATAAGCACACTGGATCCCATTAAAAGGTATTTTACTTCTAAGCCGTCTTAAGCTCATTTGTAGCCTGTATTGCATCCAAATGTGAAATCTGAAGAAATGATGTCTCAGGAACAGCATCATTTAGTGGATTAGGTAAGTATGGATGACCAGAGTGCTGTGTACTACTTATGGAGGAGAAATATTAATTGAAGCATTCAGAGATTAAGTTAAGATCAACAATTGTAGTATTATTAACAGTGACATGATTGGTTGAGTTTCTTTTGGACCTACCCAGAAGCTGGTCCAGGTGTTTCCAAAATTGTTTAGGATTATTATAGTTCAGACCGAGGGCTTCCTTATAGTAATTGGACTTGGCATTCCTAGTTTGGGTTTTGGATTGTGTTACAACTCTGGCTCAAGAGTAGCAACAACAAGGGCAGACCACACAAGCAATGACGGTTTTAAGTGTTTAATTAAAGAAAATGACGTGAACATGCATCAGTGGTGTGTGCAATGTTGAGTGTATGTGAGGTGAATCAGTATGTGGATAAATCAACTAAACTAAACAAAGGTAAAAGGTGGAGCAGCCGGTGGTCTGAGCAGCAGAGAGCGAAGACACTGCCAGCTGTGGTCCATTAATGCGGAGTTAATGCGGGATTAATGAGGAGTACAGGTGGAGCCTGGGCCCGGCGACGCCCCCAACCTATGGTCCTGACAGGAAACAAGGACAGTGAACAGTAAAAATAAGAGGGCCCAGTTGGGCCGTCACACTCCCCCCCAGAAGAACAGGGTTGTACCCTGGAAAGTGCCAGGACTCAACTTTGGTGGACCTGTCCCATGCCAGTCTGAATCGCCATCCTCCAGCCTCACCATCCCCAGCCTCAGCAACCTTGGTTCCTAGGAGCAAATTAAGAGGGGAGGAGAGACTGGAGAGATGGGAAACAGCACGAGGCAAAACAGACAGAGCTACATCACTAAGCATGGAGACAAGAAATCCGAATACTCTTAGGCTCATCTCTGTATGTAACGTGTCCACTATTGCACCCTTGACAGATATGCTCAGATTCATCCAAGCGACCACAAAGTCCAGTCCCATCTGGCCTTATAGCGTCATCCTCCCCCCCATGAGGAGTTGACTGCTGTACTTCACAGGACGTTGTCAGACCAGCCCCGCTCACAGGGTCCTTAGATGGGCACTCCAAAGACACATCCAACGATGCGTCTGCTCTTTGTCCAGGTATCAATGCCTGCTGAGGGATAGAAAGAGACTCGGGTAAACAAAAGTCAACTTTGTAATGACTTGTACGGCCTTTGGTCACGGTATAGGACGTAGACTTCGTCATGACCCTGGTGACCGCACACGCTGTAGCCACTGGGAAGTTCTTCTCACAGCCATCTGGTTCCTTTGCTTGAGCCGGAAATTCTGCGAGACACCCTGAAGCCCAAACTCGATGCCCAGCTAAATCATTACCCAGGATCACATCAACGCCCTCCATGGGTAAAGCTGGCCTGACTGCGAGGTCAACCATTCCCTCACCAAGACTGCGTGACAGGAAAACCTTGTGCAAAGAAGCCCTCAGTGGAACCAAACTAACACCCCTAACTAGAATACAACAACCTGTATCAGTGTTTTTTGAAAATGGCAATACGGAGGCCCGAATGAAAGAATCTGATGCTCCAGTATCTCTCAGAATCCTCACCGGGACTCGAACCCCATCACCAACTGACACAAATCCATCTGAAACAAAGGCTTCAAAACCAGAACATCTTCCCCCCCTAGAACCCAAGACTGATGCCCGTTTCCGCCTGGTTACCGCTGTAAACACTGCAGGTCTAACATTTTCACTGCCAAAGTTAACCCCCTTATTCTCCAATAAAGGACATTCTGATTTCCAATGACCTCTCTCATGACAGTAGTTACACTCTTGATCTGAAAACGAGGACTTTGAAAAACGACCAGGTCTAGACGATTCATCCTTATGGAACGGTGTGTGGGTAACTCTTCCACTTGAAACAAAATCATTTGAATAATGCCCCTGATTCTTTACTTTACGAGCCAAAACATACTCATCAGCAATGGTAGCCGTCTCAGAGAACGACACCACCCCTCGCTGGCTGATGTGAGTGGCGACCTCTGGTGGAACACAGTTAGTAAACTGCTCCAGAACTATCAAGTTACATAGTTCCTCATACGTCGTTACATCTAAAGCTAAGCACCATCTCTGAAAATGTTTACATAGATCCATAGCAAACTCAACATGAGACTGCTTTTCAGCCTTTCTCCATGACCTGAAGCGCTGTCTATAGGCCTCTGGAACCAGCTCATAAGCCTTCAGCACAGCCTGCTTCACAGTGTTGTAAACGCTACTCTCGTGCTCCCCCAAAGCTGAATATGCTGTCTGAGCCTTCCCTGTGAAGACTGACTGCAACATCACAACCCGATCTGACTCTGGCCAACCTCTGGAGTTCGCTATGCGCTCAAACAGTGAGAAAAATGTATCCGGATCACCTTCCTCAAACTTTGGAACAAGACGCAAATTTGACACCAAATCAAACTCCTTCGGTGTAGGACTTCTGGGCGAATACCTTAACCTCTCTGCTTCAACCTGACATCTCTCCCTCTCAAGTGCAATCCTCATTTGCTCCACGACCAATCTTTCCTTCTCCACTTCCAACAAAATTAACTCTTTTTTTTTTGTTCAAACGTAAACTTGTCCAAATTCACATTAAAATCAGTTACTAGCTCACTCTTCCCTGGCAAGACCCCCTTATCTACCAAAACAGACTTTAAACACGACCGAATATCAGCTTTCAACTTCCTGTCTCCAATGTCAACATCATACTGTTTAACTAGCTGCAACAGTTCATCCTTATTACAGCTGTCCAACAGCTCCTCCGAAGGTGAGTCGATGAAGTTGGAAGCCATGATCTTCAAAACAAAAAACAAAACAAAACAAAAGTGCACCATGGACTGAGACTTCCCCACTGACTACCTAACCCCAAAATCTAAATAACTCAACCCTAGTCTTCAGGAAGCGTGGCGATGGGTTTTTATGCGCTGTATACCGCTGGTACGGTTAAAACACAGTTCCTTCCGTGACCACGGCGCGCTCCCGAGCCGATGACAGGGAAAGGGGAAGTGGATGCTGCGACCCGCACTTACTTCCACACTAACAAAACAAAAAAGGAGTGAAATCCATAGGGGAAAACACCCATAAAGCCTACCAGAAGAAGCCCCAATCCAAGCAAGTGCAAAAAAAAAAAAAATCAAAACCCAAAATAATCAAGCTTCAAACAAAAAACAACCCAAGACAAATGTCTGCCACAAATCTTTGCTCCGGCTCTTGCTCCACCGACTGCCCCACAAAACCAAACAATCCAAAAACAAAACTCAATATACAAGTTAACCGACTCCAAAACATGAACACTAACCTTGTGTGATCTCCCCAAAATGGTTAGATATACCATTAACCTAAAACCAGATTTGACATTTCCAAATTTCCAAAACATAAATTTTCTAGGGGCAAGCAAATAAATAGAAACTTACCCAGGAACTTGGCCCACGAGCCCCCACGTGTTACAACTCTGGCTCAAGAGTAGCATCAACAAGGGGAGACCACACAAGCAATGACGGTTTTAAGTGTTTAATTAAAGAAAATGACGTGAACATGCATCAGTGGTGTGTGCAATGTTGAGTGTATGTGAGGTGAATCAGTATGTGGATAAATCAACTAAACCAGCCATTCCCAAACTCGGTAACACCGAGGCCCCCTTAAAAATCTGACGGGTCTGCGTGGCCCCCCAAAATAATAACCAAGAAGACAACATTAAGAATAGGCTCTTCTGGTTATTTTATTTTGGGGAAATAGCCTTTGCTACAAACATTGTAATACAAAAATGATTACAGTGGATTATTCAAGTCAAATAATGAGCACAAATATTTTAATATTACAAACAAAACAGTATAAATTTAACATTAAATAATTATATTATTTTTTTATTTTTTTTATGACCTCCCGCGGCCCCCCTGCAGTACCCTCGCGGCCCACCAGGGGGCCGCGGACCCCACTTTGGGAGACACTGAACTAAACTAAACAAAGGTAAAAGGTGGAGCAGCCGGTGGTCTGAGCAGCAGAGAGCGAAGACACTGCCAGGTGTGGTCCATTAATGCTGAGGAGTACAGGTGGAGCCTGGGCCCGGCGACGCCCCCAACCTATGGTCCTGACAGGAAACAAGGACAGTGAACAGTAAAAATAAGAGGGCCCAGTTGGGCCGTCACAATTGATTCCTGAGTTGTCTATAGATCACCCAGTCGTTAGGGTCCTTAGACTCTCTGTATTTAGTCCAAGCTTGGTCTCAACGTTTAAAAAGATGAATTAAGTCAGAGCTAATCGATGGAAGATGCCGTCCTGTTACGCAAATAGTTTTAAATGGGGTATGTTCATCAATTACTTTAAGGCAGGTGTCTCCAACCTTTTCACCCAGAGAGCTACATTCCAGGGACGATAAAGGCAGAGAGCTACTCCTTTAAGCGGCCCTGATAAAAATGTAGTGATATATTGGTGTGAACAAGCCTGATATTGGGTACAGTCATTATTTATCATTGCATATTTGTTACTAGTACTCAAAGTAAGTGCATTTACAATATTAAATAAGGATAATGAATTATACAATCTGAAATGTGAAGTATATTATTTGAATTGTTCATTTCTAAATCCTTTGGCGAGCTACCTGGAAGGGGGTGGCAAGCTACTGGTGGCTCCCGAGCTACAGGTTGGAGACCCCTGCTTTAAGGACTTCAGAATGGTTCACCCCAAAGATAAAACCTTACTCATGATATCACAAAATCACGTATTCCATAAGTATGTCATAATCTCAGTGCAATTTAGACAAGTCCAATGGATTTACAGACTCAGAAAACATGGGGTTAGACACCAAGATTACTTGGCTAGGTCAAATAATGAACGAGTTAGGATACGTTAAGGGCTTCCTGCCTTATTTATTAAGTAAGTAAGTAAGTAATCTTTATTTATATACCGCCTTTCACAGACCAGAGTCACAAAGCGGTTTACCATTGTTATTTTTTTGGGCACTTGTCCTCTCACTCCACACAGAGATGGGTGGGGCCAGTACAGGAGGCGCATGCCAGAACTATTGTACATATTTTTAGTGGTAGGGGAAACCGGAGTACCCGGAAGAAACCTACGCAGACACGGGGAGAGCATGCAAACTCCACTCAGAAAAGGACGTATTAAGGACACGTAATACTAAAAAAAACATCTGAGAAACCTTTAGTTAGAATTTTTTTAGGGTTAGGTGTTTTTTTCCATATATGCAGCCGCCTAATGTGGGAAAAAACAAAAAGGAACCTGAACCTTATGCATGCCATGAACTTTTCAGTTTAGACTCTATGGAAGCATTTGACACATTTGCATTCATCAATTTAGTGGTACTCCTCAGTTGAACTGCAATTGAACGATCATAGGAGGATTAAAACAACTTTGTCTATTTTGTTGAGTGTAGTGTTTGCATCAAAGATAAGGCATAATGTTGGTAGTGATATGCAAAACCTTTCCTTTTACATCTTGTGCTTTAAAATGAACCACAGAGTCATTAATTACATACAGTGCCTTGCAAAAGTATTCAGCCCCTTGGCATTTTATGTGTTTTGTTGCCTCACAACCCGGAATTAACATGGATTGTTTGAGGATTTGCATCAGTTAATTTACAGAACATGCCCACAACTTTGAAGATGTTGTCTTTTTTTTATTTTGAAGCAAACAACAAATAGGACAAAATAACAGAAAAGGTCAATGTGCATAACTATTCACCCCCCTAAAGTCAATACTTTGCAGAGCCACCTTTTGCGGCAATCACAGCTCCAAGTTGCTTTGGATAAGTCTCTATGAGCTTGCCACATCTTACCACTGGGATGTTTGCCCATTCCTCCTTGCAAAACTGCTCCAGCTCCTTCAAGTTGGATGGTTTGCGCTTGTGAACAGAAATCTTTAAGTCTGACCACAGATTTTCTATTGGATTGAGGTCTGGGCTTTGACTAGGCCTTTCCAACACATTTACATGTTTCCCCTTAAACCACTGAAGTGTTGCTTTAGCAGTGTGTTTGGGGTCATTGTCCTGCTGGAAGGTGAACCTCCGTCCTAGCCTCTAATCACGCACAGAGTGGTACAGGTTTTGCTCAAGAATATCCCTGTATTTAGCACCATTCATCTTTCCCTCAACTCTGACCAGTTTCCCAGTCCCGGCTGCTGAAAAACATCCCCACAGCATGATGCTGCCACCACCATGTTTCACTGTGGGGATGGTGTTCTTTGGGTGATGTGTTGGGTTAGCGTTTTCCTCGATGGCCGAAAAGTTAAATTTTAGTCTCATCAGACCAGAGCACCTTCCTCCATACATTTTGGGAGTCTGCCTTTTCACAAACTCAAAACGGGCCATTTTGTTTTTCGCTGAAAGTAATGGCTTTCTTCTGGCCACTCTGCCATAAAGCCCAACTCTATGGAGCGTACGG